ACACCTGGCTAAGCGTCTCTCGTCGGCCCTGTGTAGTCATGCTGGTCAGGACTCCAGCCTCAACAGGACAGTCTCAGAGGGGGCCAGAGCCTGGACACCACCTAACGGGGGTGGAGGTAACTTCCTACCCAGGTCCTGAGTCAGGCAACTCATTTCTTTGGTGAGTCAGTTCTCTAGTTTCTACAGAACTCGGGTCAGCTACTCAGAACAGCTGAGCACATGATGCAGTTGCTTCTCCAGTCACAGGTCCAAGGGTGACGTAGGCCACTGCTGGCTGGAAGTCAGGTAACCAGGAGAGTTGAGGGCTGCCTGTGGCCACTGCTACACTGGGCCTTAGTGTCACAGGTGACTAACAGGGGCCCCAGGCAGGACTCAGGGCTCAGGAGAACACACAACTCTGTGTTTTCCTCTTCTGAACCATATCCCTACACTTTGGCCTGCCACTTGTGAATCACCTCTACCAGTGACCCCCAGCGCTGCCGCTGCCTGGCCCTAGAAGACCCGGCTGAATTCTGTCCCCTCCGGCTCGTGGTGGACCCCAGGTTCTCGTCTTGCTTCCTTCCCCTGGATGCCCTTACTTCCAGGCATTGCTGAGCTCTGTGCTGCTGGTCTAAGCTAAAGGCCCTGCTTTCCTTCTCTGGTTTTTAGTTCTTTGGGATTTCAGAGCAGCGTTGGCCTAAACCTTGGGTGCTGGGCAGGGTGAATGGCTAAGTACTGCTGAGCAGATACCTCCTCGCACCCTGGACTCCTTCAGTGCGCCGTGGCCGAGTGGAGCTTGGGAGATGCGGGCGAAAGTATTAAAGGGTGAGGCGGCGTGATATCTCCAGCTCACTTCCAAATGTCTCTGGGAAAAGCAAAGAGTAAAAATTATTTTTGCAAGGAAAAAGCATTAAAAGGGGTGGGTTGATTTTCAAAGGTGGGGACATCCTAGTATAGAATATGTTTTGTAAACTATGTTTTGCTTTCCTGTGTCTCCTCTCCATTTTCCGCTCAGTTTCTTCACTTACACCCCAAGCCTGTGTGAATACTGCCCCTTGGCCTGGAACGCCAAGTTCACCTGGCAAACCGAGCCCGTGCCTGGTGACTTCCCTCAATGCCTCTGTTAGGCAAAGCCACCTGCCTGAACTGCTTTGCAGGGAAAAGCCAACCCACCCTCTTGTAGGCTTGGATGCTCAGGCCGGTTCCTTCAGGGCTTCTGCTGTCTCCAAGTGCCCTCTACTGGCCACGGAAAATAAATTCTCCCAGGGTATGATGTTTCCCAGCCCTGAGCCAAATGTGTAAAAAAGTAATTTTTATGTTTTTCTAAATCTCGAGTTGATCTCTATTATGAGCTCCCAGTCCATTCAGATAATTCAGAATAACTTTCCAAGTCCACCAGCGTCTCTCTGTCCCGGGCGGCACTGCTGTGAGCTGGAGGGGAGGCATCCGTCCATTTTCTTTGTCGTGTTGGAAGGGCCCCCGGGCATACCTGTGTGCTCCTAAGGGACATTTGGAAGTGAGTCCCACATCTGTCGGGGGCCAGCTGCTAGCTGCCACCTCTACTCTCCCGGCCCCATGTGGTCACTGCCCTGTGTTGGGGTGAGGTTGAGGGACACTCCACTTTCTCTGCCCCCACCCCCTGTGAAACTAGCCGATTTGTCCTTGGATCCCCAGACCCATCTGCAGCTTCTTCCAAGACCCTGCAGTTGGCCCAGGGACAGCAAAGGTGCAGGCTTCTCTACCGGTCGTGGGTCTTGGGTCGTGCCTTGTGGGTCGTGGGTCGTGGTCGTGGGTCAGAACCCTCTCCAGCTCCCTTCTTCATGTGCCTCCTTGGAGAAGCTGTTTGGCCTGAGGAAGGAGCAGAGAGGGAGCAACCAATAAAAAGAAAAACTGGTTTGGTAGGTTTCATTCCAAATCTTTTTTTTTTAGGGTAAATTTAATTTTTTAAATTAATTTTATTGAGGTAACACTGGTTAATAACATATAAATTTCAGGCATACATTGCAAATTAAAAAAAAATTTTATTGACTTTTAGAGAGAGAGGAAGGGAGAAGGAGAAAGAGATGGAAACATCCATGTGAGAGAAACATCAATAGGCTGCCTCCTGCACGCCACCTACTGGGGATCGATGCTGCAAACTGGGAATCGAACCAGCGACCTCTTGGTGCATGGGTCGACACTCAACCACTGAGCCAAATCGGCTGGGCAAAAATTTTTTATCTGTATACTTTATTGTGTGCTCACCACTCAGTCTAGTTTGGGGTCTTATATATAGAAACATATACTCAGCTTTTATTCCCCCCTCGTAATTAAAAACCAAGAATTTGACATCTTTGTTTCCTGGTCCCTCCAAATGGCTCTTTGACAACTTCCCCTTGGGCCACGGCGCCCTCTGGTGGGGCTCCCTGGGCGGGGGCGGCCTTGGATATAAGCGAAGAAATTCAGTAAAGAACATGGAGGAGAAACCAAATCACCTCGCACAGTCTCCTGCCACGGCCAAGAGACAAAAGGATGCCTTTCTTTTTATAGTTTACAAAACATACAGTGTTAGGGTGCTTCCCACCTTTTGAGGGCTTCTTTTCACATACCTTCCCCTTTTTGTGTGTGTGTTTTTTGTTAACCCTCACCCAAGGATATTTTTCCATTAATTTTTAGATAGAGTGGAAGAGCGGGGGGCGGGTGGGGGGGGGAGGGAGGGGGAGGAGGGAGCATCATTGTGAGAGAGACACATGTCATTTGGTTGCCTGGTTGCCTCCCACACAACCCCCAGCTGAGGCTGGAGATGGAACCTGCAACCCAGGTACCTGCCCTTGACCGGGAATTGAATCTGAGACATTGACATTTTAAAAGGAAACAGGTACATTGTTTTATAAAATGGCCCTCAATTTGGTTTTGGCAATTTGTCATCCTCAGGACTCAAGTTGTGCCTTTTTTGGTGACACAGCATGGAAGTGATGTCCTTCCCAGCACATCACACAGGAGGCGGCACCTGGCATTAGTTCGTCCCACGTGGGTGACAGTACATGTGATGACTTGTCAAAGTGGCAACGACAGGTTTCTCCACTGCAAAGGTACCTTCCCCCCAGCCTTTGAAAGTGAACACACGCTCTGTGGGAAGACACCACGTGTGCACAGATCCTGCCACCTAACAGATTCCACCCAGTGGGCTTAGCACCCATTGGTGGAAATGAGTGAGTTCTGTGGGTTCTGTGGTTGTAAAACGGTGAGTTTTCTAACTCTTCTCCCCTCTGTTTGTCACCACTCTGTCAGGAAGGGCGAGAATGCAGTCGAGGGTCCTTGACCACTCCTCCTCCCCGCCCTTCCCCTCTGCTTGGCATGCCTCTCTCACCTGGCAAATTCTGCCCGTCCTTGAAGCCCAGATCCAGGGTCACCTGGCCTCGAAGCCTTCCCCGCCCCAGCTGGGCAGACAAACCTGCGGCTTCAAGTGAGGCGGCTGCAGCTGTCTGGCCTTCTGAGCCCCTGCGACAGGGAGAGGGTGGGGGAGGAGCCCCGCCCTCCCATGACAGGACCCCCACCTCGGCTCTGCTTGGTCTAGCACAATGATTCTCACTTAGGGGAGCCCCAGAATCACCTAAAGGGCTTGGTAAACACAGACACCTGAGCTGCACCCTGGGGGTTCACTCCCCAAGACTCCCTGGCTTAACAAAAACTGTTTGTTTCTCCTTCGATCACATGTCAAATGTGGGTTGGTAGGGAATCTGGTCCACACGGTTCCTCGGAGACCCAGGGTGTCACCCTTTTGACACCACCATTTCAACACGTGGCTTCTGGGGAAGAGAACAACGTGGGTTCTTCTCTGCTCACAGTCCACAGGCCAGAACTTGTCCTGTGCCTTTGCCCACTACATGGCTGGGTAATACGTAGGTAGACCAGATGGCCCATTCGGTGACCGCCATGGCTTCTCTGCCACAATGGTGTTCTCCTTCTTTATGGATGCCCCACCACAGGGCCTTCTCTCTGCTCCTCAAACACACCAAAACCTCCTTACCTCTGCGCCTTGGCACCAGCTGCTCTCTGCCCAAATGCTTGCGCCACATCTCACATGGTTGACCCAAATGCCACCTCCCTAAGAGGCCTTCCCTGACTGCCCAAAGTAGCCACCCACTCCCTCGCAGCACCCTATTTTAATTCTCTGCAGAGCCCTCGTCATGCCATGTTTCTGTGCTGGGTGTCGTCTCCCCCTATGACCTGGCTGCAGGCACACTCCACTAGAGACACTGCTCATTGGTTTATCGTCCGATCCCCACCATCAGCAACCCCTGGTACGTGGTAGATCAACCAATTATCCCTGAGTCTGTGCCCATTTTGCAGGTTAAAAAATGGAGGACCCAAAGAAGTGGCTTGCCCAAGGTCACACCGCCACCAAATGGTAGCTCCTGCTATAAAATCCACACGTGACCACCAACTGTTTTCTTGCATCATTTCACTGCTTCCGAATATTGAGGTGGCAGAAGATGTTTTATTTTATCCTTTTCTCATAAATCTCCATTTGGTGAGCCTCCACCATGTTTGGTTTTTAAAAGTCTCTTAATACAATTCTAGAGAGGGCAATTTGGTAACATCTATCAAGGCTCAGATGTGCTCACATATGTGGGAAATTACATATATGCAAGTTTTTTTTCACGACAGTGCTGTGATAGCAAAAGATTAGAATTAACTCAATGCCCAGCTATCGGATACTGGTCTATACTGGTCACTGTGGGTATGTGCACATAGTGGAATAGTATGCAGCCCTGAAAAGTAGGGAAGAGCTTCAGGTTCTGATCGGAAAGTTGTGTAAAGTACAGTGTTATGTTAAAAGAGAGGGCAGACATGACAGTATGTAAAGAGCTGCACGGCTTTTAATTTCTCCCAAAGAGATGAAAACCTTCAAGTCTTATCTAAAAGAGGTCATCTATCAATGAAAAAGATTTAAAAATGCAATCAGAATACTGACGTGGTTTCCATCATTTGAACTTATTTTATTGATATTCATTAGCAAATAAAATTTTATTGTTGATTTTTGATGCACTACAACACACCTTTTGATAGTGGTTGCCTGATGTTGATCATTTATTTACTATACTAAATACTGAAACCTCAGAATTGTTGATTTTTACACTGGTGTTTCCTTTGTGATGATGGGTGGCTCCTCTCTCTGAATATGTAAAGTGGTCCATTCAGTCCATGGTTTTCATGTTCCTTTTACTCTACCTACTGCTTGAAAATACATTCAGATAAGATGTGCGTCCTTGACGTGAGTGCACACAGTTCAGCCACAAGGAGCGTTGAAAATGTAACTGACCAACATCCTTGTGTTCACAGAATAAATAGTCTGAAATCGTGGGACTGAGGCTTGCTCCTAGGGGCTTTCTTACAGGATCTTCAGTGGACATAAGGTTATACTCCTTCGATTGAATGACACGGCCTTTGCCAAGGGGGGAAGAGGAGGGGGTGCAAAATGGACATTTCATTTGCATGTGATGTTATTCTCACATAGATGTCGGGAACAAATGGGCATGGAACACCATGAGGTACACTGTAGTCTGCAGATTAGAATAAATAAATGACCTGCTTGGACTGGAATGCCACAGACACGCGGTGCCCGGAGCTGGAGAGAAGATGCTTGTTTGAAATACAGCACATAAATAATAAATAAAAGTTCAACGCTCAGTCGGTGACAGCAACGGGAGTGGGCCCCCTCGCTCATTCATGTCGTCTCACAAGCACCTCTATCTTCCTAAGGATACACGTGACACCGGCGGACAGGGCCTTTCAGGGGAAGGAAGCATCTGTGGTGACTGCTCTGTTCTAAAGCGAGAGGGCAAACGTGGGGGGTCGAATGGCTGCCACGAAAGACCACAGAAGTGAAAGCGCGTGGACCAGACACGAGGTTTCAGTGTTAAGGACTGGACCCAGCCACAGGCCAGAGCCTGGTTTCTCCCATGAACCAGTTGGGTATTACATTTGGTGGTGGTTCTTTTGCCCTTGACTGTTGACAGATTTCATTCACAACCTTTTCCCCTGTCCCCTTTCCTTTCAATGCTGTTGAAGTTGTCGTGGGTCTGGTCTTACTCAGTCTGGTTGTGTCCCTGGGTCCTAGAAACAATCCCCATCCCCTTAGCGGCGTGTTGGCTGCTTGCGAGTGGGGTCAGAGAGCCACAGAGAGGACATGCCCTGGGACGTCCCTCCTGGCACCTCTACTCCCCGCCTCTAAACGTAGAAAAGGAAACAGGACACAGCCAGGGCTGTTGAAGTTCAGCGGGAGTGTAAACACGTTCTCTCTCGGGTCAGAGGTCTGGCCTGACAGCTGGTTGCAAGACATTGAAGGATGACTTCAGGCTGAAGGCGGGGAAAGAAAAAGTCACACCTCAGAGAAGCGACCGTCCACCGAGGCAGAGTGATGAAGGTCTCGAAGGAGCTGGGCCACCCATGAAGGAAAGAACAGCTCTCCAGTCCGGAGAGCGTCAGTGCACGCGGCCCCGGGCAGAGGCTCCTCACCCTACAGGTGGGCAGGGCAAGGCAAGCTGCCCACGACACCAGGGGGTGGGCCGTTGTGCCCTGTGCTGAGACCGCCCACAGCGTGCACACGGGCAGCCAGCCACGAGTTCCCTGGTTTCCTATCCATTGGGTGAGGACGCCCTGGGGTTTCAGTGCTTCAAAGGGCAGAAGGAGAAGAGAGGACACCTGCCTGCCCCGCCCCCAGCACAGGTGAAGTCCTCATGAGAGCAATGACAGTGCAGGGGCACTGGCCGTGGGAACTGGAGAAAGGGCAAGTGGATACTGGTGTCCAAGTCCTATGTACACATTTTACAAAGTCTCCACTCTTCCCCCATTAGGCACGAGGTTGATTTGTCTAGCTCGGGAGGGGTGGGCGAGGAGGGGAGAGGGAGGGCGCAGTGCAGGAGGGGAGCGAGGGAGCAAGGACATGATTGGTCTCCTCTGCAGAAGGGCCCCCTGCCACCCTCACCGTAAGCTAGTTTGTTTGGGGAGCTTAGCACCCATCAAGATGCCCGAGGTGAGAGTCACGGGGGCCTTCATCTGCATGCTGGACCCCACCATGGTAGGGAAGCTGCGGTTCCTTCGGATGCCGCTGTTGAGCTGCAGCCCGCCGATGGCACTCGTGACAGTGGGGCATCTGAGAGGCAGGCCCTCGGGTCCCAGGCCTCCGGGGACGAGGGCCTGTGCTGGGCCCGGGGGCCCACAGAGGAGAGGTCCCTGATCCTCAGTCAAGGTGGGGATGGGGGCTCGCCCTGAGTTCACCACTTTGGCCACGCCAAACCTCCTGACTTTGTCCACGAGGTTGAGGTTGGAGACAGACACGTCCGTCTGACTCTCACTGCTCCGGACGGTCTTCTTCTCCCTCACCTCCCGCAGGATGGAGCTGGCCGGCTTGGAAGCCAGGAAGTTGTCGTAGGGAGGGCTTGTGCACTTGAACTCAAAGGAGGGTGGGGAAGAGGTGGGCGTCTGCATGGGCGAGTTGGGTGGGGTGGAAGGGATCACAGCCATCCTGGGGGTGTAGGAGTGCAGGAGGGAGCCCCGGCCGGCCCTGTCCCAGCTCTGGGGGTCATACACAGCCGCGGAGATGCCCCGCTCCTTCAGCAGCCACACCAGCCCCAGTGACGTGCTCATAGTGGTCGTGGACTCGCGGATGTTAGTGAACGACTCGGCCAGGCTCAGTCTCCGGGGAGTGCATGGCGTGGCCACTGGCGTGGACGTTAAGTGGCTGCCGCTGCCACAAGCTGGAGTCGGGGCCGCGTTAAGGCTGATAGGAAAAGAGAAGAGGTCATTCATCTGAAAAGGCCCATGAGCACCAGGAAAGGGCCAGTGGCCAGTGTCCTGCAGGGGACAAGAGACACCCCCGGCCCAGGCTCCCCGGAGGCCTCTTCCCCTGCCAGCCCTCCCCTCCCCTGGGGGCGTGGATTCCCTTAGGTGGGGCGTGGTTTCAGGTCACAGGAAGCTGCACATGATGCCTGGTTCTCAGCCCCGCAGGGTGCATGTGACCGTCCCCCTGCAGGTGAGGGACAGCCTCCGAGGTCAGGTGGCTTACTCAGTGGCACACTCAGCTAGCAAGTGGAAGACCTTGGTTTCAAACCCAAATGGGGGAGGAAGCCCTGTGACAGGATTTCTTTCCCTACCACGTTTAGCCACACCCCCGAGCTCCTTCCCCACCTCCTTCCCCGGGGTCAGAGGTCCCGACACCACGGCTGAGCTGATCTGGGTGCGGCCTCTAGTCCTCCCCGTGGTCGCCCGAATCCCTAACTCGATGAGTGGCGTTCTGGGGTCAGAGGAAGCCACACTGTGCTATCAGGTCCACGTCCATGGAGCTGCAGAGAAGGCGCAGCGGGCACGTGCCACCGGTCACTAAAGGAAAGCCACGATTCCTACATCCCCTCGTGCGGTGCTGACTGAGGACACTGCCCCAGACGCTGGGGTCAGGATTGGGACAGAAAGCGTGAGGACCAGCAGGGGCAGTGCCCGGCTGTCTGCCTAACGGACTGGCGGGACCCTCTTCTAACAGCGGCGCCAGGAGGGGCGGCCACACCTCCCGGAGCCTGTGCTGCTACTGCAGCTGGGACAGGAGCACACGCCCCGTCTCATGAGACCTGCCCCGTGCCACCCAGGCACTGGCTGTGGCTGCAGGTGCCCCTGGGAGCAGGGCAGCTGGGGTGCCCAGGAGCTGGGGACAGGGCCCTCTCTCCTCAGCCTGACGGGGGAAGGACCAGATACCTCGGGCAAAGCACCAGCACAGGGAAAGGGCAGGAGGGGCCCGCTCTGGAGGTTCCTGGGATGACCAGAGCAGGGACCCCGGGGAGGTGCCGTTCACGGGTGACCTCACCGCTGAGGCGTCAGCCCAGGGTGAGGCCCACAGAACAGGCCCACCCCACACAAGCTCAGGGGCGGGGCACGTGGAGAAACACGAGATCAGAAACCACAGCGGATCCCTAAGGTTAGGGGCAGGCGGAAGTCTGCACAGTGCCGGCCTGCGAACACAGGGGGAGACGCTTCTGGACCGAACAGCCTGTTTCCAGCGCCAATCCTAGGGAGTTTCCATTTTGTTTTGAGCTGCGATTTTTTCAAACTCAGGCAAAAGCCCTCTCTTGCCTCTGACTGCCCGGGCTCTCCGGTCCCTGGCACGCCCCGTGGATGGCGAAGGCTGGGGTCCCAGGGCTCCAGGCGCCAGCCTCTCCCCGGGAAGCCCTGTCCCGCGGTTTGAAGCGCAATCTCCCTATCAGGACGGGGAAAGCCAGGTTCTCTGGACTCGGGGCGTCGGAGGAGACAAGCTAAAACTCCGAGGTCCCTCTGGTGAGAACTTCGGTTAGGCCTGTATTAGTGCTGGCGCTCGGCTCGACCGGGGCTTTTAGATGGGTTAGGGGCATCCGCCATCAAGGCCGAGTTAGCCAGGCACAACCACAGAGACACAGCCACGCCTAAGTCCCGGGTTAGTGGCGGCCACGCGTGCACACACAGCCCTTTCCACCGGGCCCGGCCAGGGCAGGCACTGCTGGCGTGTGCTCACCCCCTGCCTCGCCCGTGGGCTCACTGTCTGCCCTACATCTCCTCTCAGCTCAACAGGGCATGGGGCTGCTTCGTCGTCCTCATCACATGACCTGCGGAGAGGCAGTCAGAGTTTAAGGCGCTCCTTGGGGCGGCTGCTCCCTCCAAGCTGCCCTGCTCGCCGCCCTCCCTCGCGGCTTTACCTTCACCCCCCGGCATCTGGCCACACAGGGGAAATGGCCGGGGGGTCACTGCCTTTCACTGACGCTCCGAAAGGCCTAAAGTTGGCCGTGCGGACCACCCCACGCCACACAAGTCCTCTCGCCAGATGGCGCCAACGTCTATTGCTTCTCGGAGGAACCAGGGGGAAATGGACCACGCCGGGCACGTGGTCCGGTCTTCGAATTTGTCATTTCGGTCAGTGCAGCTGTGGTGCACGGTTCCTGACATTTAGAGCAGGGCACAAGGGCTGCCACGAGGCTCAGTAACTCCTGTCTGGGAAGGAACTCCGCGCTCTACCGGGAGACTTCGGGGCAAAAAGCCAACTGACTTGGCCCGTGGGGTGTCAGCTTCAGCTGGTGAAGCAGAAGCCTGAGCATCTTCCAGGACCAACTAAAAGGGCAACAAAAGGTGGTCCAGGTCTCTGTGTCTGCGTGGATCTGAGTTAATAGGGACCTCAAGTCAAAAGATGAGAGGGACCCAGAACCGAGCCTGCAGGTGCTTACGAGATGCTGCAGCTGCCAGGGTCGGTGTGGAAGGAGCCCCTCTACCTGGGTTTTCCTCAACATCACGTCTCGCAGGGAGAGCCCCCACCTCACCCCACCCCTGCTCACCCTTACCTTGGCGTGACCCGTGTGAGCTCGTCTGAAGGATGCAGGATGCGGCAGGTGGTGAAGGTGAAGGTGGAGTTGGTCTGTGACATGCACTTCCCAGGATGGTGTGCTGCATTGGGGGAGGGGCAGGGGACAAAACAGGTTTCTTGCATCCAAGTACACCCACGAGAGAAGGAAAAGTCCAGCACAGCCCTCAACAGATGCAAGAAGCAACGAGCCACCTTGTTCACCGGATCTGGGCCAGGACGGTGAAACGCGAATGTTCTGGATCGAAGGTGGTTCCTCAGTAGTAACCACACGTTTGAGCACTGGCGTGCAGAGCACCGAGTTCCAGCTCCCAGCCCAGTCCGGCCAGGGCTCCCCTCCGGCGTTCTTGGGCCAGTAGTGGATCCAGCTGGAGGGGCCAAGGGGCCCGTGGGGTAAATTTGGTTTCCCTGGTCAGAGGTCAGAATCGGCTTCTGTCTTTGCTGCTTTGCACTTCTTTTCATTGGCAAAGGGGAGCCGAACTCTGCCAAAGGGAGGGGACGGGCGCTCGCCCCTGGAAACAGGGCACGTTCCCACAGCTCCCTCTTCTGTTCACACAAAAAGGGGCTTGACTTGGGGAGGCTGGTTCCACTACTGTCGCTCTGTGGTCGGCAGGGGGACAGGAGGTCTCAGCCGCCTCAGCAACAACCGGCCGAGACCCAGCGCCCTCTGTGCGGTGCTGTCAGACCCAGCGAGGATGGCAGCACCTGCCCCACCCCGGGCTGCCTTCTTGCCATCTCTAGGACGTCTGAATTTAACGCAAATGAGACGGCAACACGTTACCCTCAATTTATTTCCTTTTAAAGGTCCAGAGAGTTACTGCTAAGGCGGCTGAAGACCGTGAGCGGGAGCAAAGGAAATCACAGAAGCGGGAGGACCATGCATCAGCAGGCTGGCGAGTGATCGGTAAGTGTGGTCTACGGGAGACATCATGATTGCAGAGGTCATCCTCGTTCATAACTCCAACATTAAAAATTAAAAAAAAAAGATGCCATTCCAAGTCGCATGCACGGTGAAGTCCTGGGGTCCTCCCCCCGGCCCGCCCAGCCTGCGGCCCCTGCAGCAGCTCAGCCCCCAGAGACCTCCTGGGAGAAAACGGATTAGAGTATCACAGGCCATGAGCACCCTGAAGATTCAAACAGCTGTGAATGAGAATCTTCCAGCTCTTTATGGCACGTTTTCTCTTGGATTCGACAAAAAGGAAAAGACAAAACAGAAGAGACTGGTGTTCCAGACCCACAGATCCACACACGAGTGACTGTGTCTTTAAAAACAACAGCCGGAAACCGGATGAAACAAACAAACAAAAAAATGTTGGAGACACGCAGACTGCAGGCAGGCAGGACAAAGCCAGAGCACAAAAATGGTGGCGGTGACTCGAGGAGCAACGCGAGGCTGGTTTGTCCCGATTACTGTGGTCTGACCCGTCTCTCAGTGTCCAGGGAGGCTCCCGTGGCCCCTGGAGTGGCAGCCAGTGCCACGGCCACAAAAGCAAACTCAACCACAGGGAGCTCCATGCAAAGGTGGGGCATAAAGAAACAGTCTTTACGAATCTGTGGTTCTCAACCAATAGATGGAATGGTTTAGGAACTTGAATAACCAAAAAACTGCTGCAAGCAAAACAAAAATGGAATGAACTATGAAAAAAAAAAAAAAAGGCAACCGAACAATCACGATTCTCTGACTGCCATGAGGTCTAGAAACAAAAGCAACACAACACCTGAGAAAAGCATCCCAAACAGTGCGAGGGGTTATCCAGACGGGAGGAAAGAAGAAAGCGGTAAACAGAAGTCATTGAGACAAAACCGGTGGAAGACAGATAACATTAAAAGACAAAATCCAACAAAAGCAAGACTGGATTCGAAACCAGAAGCGCGCTCCATTGAAACGCAGGGCCAGAACACTGAATCAAAGGGCGCGATGTTCGCTTCCTCCTCCCCCCGTCACATTGGACCTTCGATTGCAAGACAGGGGCGTAAGAGGGACATTTTAGAGACACAGTGGCATCAGCAGAAGCAAAACCCATCTTATGCAAATGGATTTGGGGCGTAGGAAAAGGCTGCTAAAATTCAGAAGTCATTGTTCCCCAGAAGTGAAAGAGAGAGCTTTAGGAGACCAAGGACGATCAACCAGTATCAAATGTGCCCAAGCCAGGAGTTCGGCCCCAACAAAATACCGCCGGGATGCCTGGACGCCAGCTCTCCGCGTGTCACCGCCTGTCGGACCGCCGCGGCACCTCCCCTCCTTGGGACACAACACAGGGACAGTGAGTGGCCCGAGGCTCCTGCGCGGCCACGGAGCAGCTCCGGGCGGATCCCCACACCCTTCGTGCAGGAGAGAGCCCTTGTCACAGGAAGAGGACAGACTCCTCCCGGTGGTAGGGGCTCCGTCCTTCGTCCCTTGTCTCCACCCGCAGGAGCCCCACTGCAGTGCCTCCGAGGACACGCTTTCTTCCACTCGGGGCTCTGACATCCTGCTGAGATCCACCTTCTTCTTTTCAGCCTGACTTTTTCTCAGTGTTGTGAGGAGAGTAACGGGGTGCAGGGGGGAACCTTTTCTCTGCCAAGGGCCATTCAGATTTTATAACATCTTCTGCAGGCCATACACCATTGTCAACGTAAAAATTAGCCTGCTCTGCGAGGTCAGGCTGATTTGGTGAGGTGCGTGATGTCAGCTGGTATCGATTTCGTGGGCCTGCTACGACCCGCGGGCCGGACGCTCCCCACCCCGGTTGGAGCGTTAGCACTGACAAGTGCTCTCGTCAGGATTTTATTCAGGAAGCTGCACTTCCCAATAAAACCCCAATCCTCTACTATTGGTATTTGTTCCCCCTTCCCCAGGCCTCACACTGGCACAGTTCTCATTGGTCAAAGATAACCTTTACCCTCCATCAGTCCTGGATTATTTGAGATCTCTGTTGGTGAATGCACACCGGGGGTGAGTGTGCGGACTTCTGTCCTGACAGTGTGGCACGTGACAGCACACACCCTTCGGGCAGCTGCAGGGGGTGCTGACGGGCTTTGTCAGGGGGACAGTCACCCTGCCCGCTCACTCTGATCCAACCAACGTGCTCTCTGTTTGGAGAGGTGCCCTTGGCAAAGGCTCCGACTGCTGTGCTCCGCTGGGGGCCCGTGAAAGCTGGTACTGACCGGAAAACTGGGGGCTTGGGATCCTGCTGCTGCATCAGTCATGAGGGTACGTGGCACACCCTCCCTGCCCCCCACCCCCGGCAGCACTGCAGACTGTGCGGGGGATTCTCTGCAAGTATGTGGGGTAGACCCGAGTGACCACGCTGGTGGATGTTCGGGCTTTCAGGGAGGATGGGCAGAAAGACCACCACTCCCCACAGACCACCCTCAGATGGTGAGAAGAGGAAGGAGCAAGGACAGGCCAGCACACTCTGCGGGGGACTCGAGGGCGACCGGGACTCTGTGGTCTGCGTGCACGGGATCAGGTTGGCACACACCAGCTCATGCATTTCAGTCATCTGAAGGGTGCTCTCCCCCTCCACAGGACGGCCAGACGTGCTGGCGAGAGCAGACCTTTTGCTCTAAGGCTGCTGTGGCAGCCGGCCCTCCAAGGAACCCTCGTGTGAGCACAGAGGTCAGAGAGCAACGGCGCCCAGAGGAGACGGCACAGCCCCCCGCACGGCTGCTGTCCGAAGGGCTGCCACGTTTTGTATATTTGTATGAGCCTGGTTTGGGCCATTTCCTCCCCTTGAAATGGTTTCCACGTGTCTGAGTGTTAAAATAAACTTGACTTCCTTCTATCTCCGTTGCGCTTTAAACCTAGCTCCTTCTCCCCTTTAAAGATCAAGGCATCCAAGAACATGCAATGGAACTGTACATCCAACCAACCGTCTACCAACTGTGCACTTGAAAACGAATCTCAGTCCTTAACCACACGCAGGCTCTCCCCTAGTCGGGAGCACCTGAACTCAGAACGCGGGCAGAATAGGATAACGACTCCTTCTTCTGATAAAGTGCACGCTCTCGGTGAAGGAAAACATCAAGTGTCACTGAAATGAAGTAAAACTATCATCTAAAAATTGTTTTAAACAATCTGTTTTAATTATCTAAATCGTTTACAAATATGAAAACAAGGACTCATCGTTTTTAAGACATGGGATTATAAAAATCAGCACATGATGATACACTAGTAATACATGAAAATATATTAATAAATTTTTTTCAGTGTGTACTCAAAACTTTTTCTCCAGGAGACAGCAGGCTCTAGACAAAAATACCTAGTATGCAAGTCTTCCAAATTTCTTCCACCATCCAGTTGCAAGAAAAAAGGTTAAAGTCACTTCTTGTCCTTCTAAGTTTCTTCCTACTCAGTCTTCCCAGGCAGACAGCTCCTGGGACTGTGTTGTCTGGTGACAGAAAAGCCCACGCATGGAGGGTGGACCGGGGCGGGGACCAGCCCAGCCCAGATACAAATGCTGAGACCAAAGATGCCCAGGCCTTCCTGCTGAAGCTCATCTGTCCAGCCTGGACACCAAGACTGTGTACCTAGTGCCACTCAGAGCCTCTGGGGTCGCTATTTCAAGTGACATGCTTCTTACATTCCAAGAATGAATCAAAATGGCCCTGTCGTTCCCACCAACAGAGAAAAAGGAGCCAAACCATGGTTCGTGCCCTTCCTTTCTGCAGAGCTTTTCACGAGTCTCACCCAGAAAACAAGCCCCAAAGAAGTCTCGTCTGAACAACCAGACGGTTCCCAAATGACCGTCAGCAAATGTTACTTCTCTGTGAACACGCTGCCACCGCCCTGTCCTCAAAGGGATGCATCTGCTGCAGGGCTGCGCAGGAGGGGAGGACCAAGAACTGCATCTTTGTTTAGGGAAGAGAAGTGCTCACGGCTTGGGCCTTCAGAGCTGGTCCCCTCTCCCCCTCCGCCTCCCGAGAGAAGTTCTTAGCTCATGTGATAAGCTTGGTTCCTGCTGCGTAACTTCTCCAAAGCGCACCTAATGGTGCATGTTAACTTGCGGATACGCCTTCTATTCTAGGTGGAGGGCTGCAGGGAGGGGTCATCGCACAGGACGTGATTCCTCCTGCTTCAGCCACAAAAATCAGCAGCCGCTGTATTCCCTGTACTATTGTCTGCCTTCCCAATGGCACCGGACTCATAACAAAGAGGTAACACCGCTGGCTTCTCTTTCTTACATATGAAGATACTAAATAGCAAGCATTGCTGTTCCCTTGCAAGCTTAATCTGGTCACTTAGTTGCTACAGAAAAGAATATAAACCATAATAAACCTATATGCTAATCAAATACTTTCAACTTGAAGATACTTCTAAAATTTATGCTAAAGAAAAAAGAGCCCAGCCGGTGTGGCTCAGTGGTTGAATGTCGACCCATGCACCAAGAGGTCGCCGGTTCGATTCCCAGTCAGGGCACATGCCCAGGTTGTGGGCCTGATCCCCAGTGAGGGGCATGCAGGAGGCGGCCAATCGATGTTCTCTCTCATCGATGTTTCTATCTCTCTCCCCCTCTCCCTTCCTCTCTCTAAAAATCAATAAAGAAAAAAACAATTAAAAGGAAAAAGAAAACCTGGTTCCCCAGGAAGTCCCTTGGCACAGGCACAGGCACCGGAACTCGGCAGGGGTGAGGAACGCCAGCAGGACCTCGGCTCTGCCGCCTCGTACTGCACGGGGAGTGTGAAACTAAGGGTCACAAAGAGCAATGAGCATCCTCTCTTCAAAGCTGGTGACATGGGAATATCAGGATGAAGACACTGGTGAACTCATCCCTTTCTGGGTCTCTCCCCTTATCCCGTAAGAGCCTCCTTGTCTTCTTAGCACAAGGAGATCTGGGAAGCCCGGCGGATTCTAAGCACGTGACCACTGTGACCCCAGGGCCCTGAGCATGAAGCCTTTCAAGCCAGCGGCACGTAGGATGTGAGTAGTTCTGTAAACATAAGGTCACAACTCGAATGCTTGTTGGGACCGTGGGAGGGTAGTGGTCAGAGGGGAGACTAGCCAGAGCTGGTTCCCCAATTTATCCAGTGTCCCCGCTCAGGTAGGGCTCCCTGACATCCTCTTGGGATGGTTTGGTTATGGAGCATTGCTAAAACACTTTTAAGAATCCACTCTGAACAAACATGCAAGCTGGAAAGGAACGCACATACCTTCGTTCCAGTTAGAAAAGTACAGAGGCTGATCAAGTGGTGTCTAAACTCCTGACCACTTTCGGGGCTTTCTCCTCCCCGACGGAGGCTTGCGGGTGACAGATTCTGTTCACCTGCTGAACGGTCCAGAGCTCACCGTGTCCCCTGCAACTGCCCATCTCAGGGGACCCAAGAGTCTGCGCCTCAGCCTCGGGGAGAGACCCATGCAGGAGGGGAGCTGACGTTCTGGGGGTGGGGCGGGGGCAACAACCCACTTCCTTTTAGCAGCCTTTCCTGCTCCTCGTCCAGGAGTCCCGCTGGGCCGCGTGCCTCCGAGATGGGCAAGGAGCGGACCCGTTTGTCACAAAGGAAGCATCGACTGTGTTACAAACCAGAGCCGCACCACGGGAGAGGGCTCGTCATCACCCACACAGACGCGCGGAAGCCACAGACAGAGAGCCACTACGGATGGTGCTGGGGGCAGAGGTGAGAACGGCCCAGAACTCGGCCTCCGGCAAGGGTGCCAGGTTCACAGGACTTATCTCGGTGCCCTCACCAGACCCCTCCTCCTCCTCCTCCTCCGCGGCCGCTGGCGGCTCCTGCATCTCTTCTGGGGAAGCCTGAGGCCGGCTCGGGGAACTTCTGCTGCCTGAGACAGTCACGCGTGCTCGGGACCTCTCACCTGAGGTCTCTGGGTGCTGCACTGGCGTGGAGGTAGCTAGGCCCGGGAGGGAAATGTGGTCACCTGTGTCGTCTTCTTCGAAGTCATTAAGGCAGTACACTTCGTCCAGGTCAACATCCAGCGTCCGGAAGCCCTTGGTGACCACACCGGGCCGGGGGTCCAGGATGCCCCCGAGGTGAGGCTGGGCCAACTGCTGCCAGTGGTGAAGGGTGGCCGAACCTTGCAGGACAAAGGCAGACACGGGGGGACAGGGAGAGAGAGGGTTAGGATGGAAGTCTAAGCCGACGGCCGCTCACCACCCTCAGAGCCCCAGCAGGACCTGGGCGCCGCAGTGGGTGGGCTGTGGTCGGCAGGGGGTGACACCGCCTCCCTCCTACTCTGCAACAGCAGCTCCGCCCACCACAGCCAGAAGGGGCACCGACTTAAGGAATCAAAAAGAGTTTCTTAAAGTAAAATTCACTCCATACTGTGTGCCAAGGGTGTCTGGGACAAACACTATTCTAAATCAACTGATGTCAACCCCCAAATCCAACACAGAATCACTTCAGGAATAGAAGCAGGAAAAAAATAAGCGAAACAGGCACAAAAGGGGGCTGGGGGAGGGGACATGTCCTGATCCTACGTCGAGTACACACTGCTGGGAACGGGGAGGACACAGCAGAGGCAGACGGGACGATGGCCAGCCAACCCAGCAGCCCGAGAAGAGAAAGGCAGAGAGAGACGGCAGCACACACTGACGAGGGGTGGGCACGGCCCTGGCCGCCTCTACTTGGGTGTCTGTCTCTTCTCCGCCAGGGGCCTCGAGGACCAGCCTACGGGGTGTGATGGAAGAACACGGGAAGTCCTCAGAGGTCTGAGGCAGAGGAGCCGATCTCGGTGACACCGGACCCTGGGACTCGGATGACATTGTGCGAGATCTGTGATAACACCAGTGTGTGTCCCAGAGCCCTGGAGGGCGGCACAGGCACAGAGAAGTGTTCCAAGACCAAGTCTAAGGACACCTGGGTTACGAAGTGTCTACTGAGGACCACCTCAGAACCTTGTGTGTGGTTCTGCCCAGCCCATCTTCCCCTTGGAAGACTGGCTACACCTCACATGGCCCTGGTATCATGGGCACACAGCCCGTGAGGCTGGGTGTTCTGTCTTCATTCTCCAGATGAAGTCAACCACACAAATCAATATTCTACACTCAGGACAGACGTTGGGCAGGGTCTCAGGCATGGGAAGTCGACAGCCTTCCGCACAGGAGGCCTCCCAGAGGGTCACTGCTGGTTTACCAGGGTGTCCTCTCCTGGGTGGGCAAGAACCCCTCCCGGCCACTAGGCTGCCCTGTCAGAAAGGGGGGCCAGGGATGCCAGAGACGCCAACAGCCAGCAGCTCAGAACGTCGGGGGGGAACAGAAGGGAAAGGAAGGCAGGAGGGGAGGTCAGGAAGCCGACCAGTAACATGAGCGAGATGCAGAGAACCCTCGCTCATCAATTAGGATCGCCAACCCTCGGGGGTGCCCAGCAAGGACCCCATCTCTCATCACAGCTGGAAAGTAACTTCCCAGGGGAAAACCTCAACCAAGAAGTCCTGAAACCCTTTCATCACTGGGCAACTTAAAATTCACATGACAGAGGAAACCTGTCCACACGCCTGCACACGCATAGGCACTTCTCGGACCCCACTTCGAGGTCTGTCCAGTTTACGAATGCACAAGTACGACCGCAACCTACTTAACCAGACTCTACCGGATATGAACGGAAAATATTTTAAATGCGAAAAGGAGAAGGAATAACATAAAAAAGGATGCCCACCATGAAAGAAGGCACCACGTACTTGTTCTCACCAGGTGGTGAGACATACTTAGAGCAGTGGTTCTCGACTGGGGGTGATCTTGTGCCCCAGGGAACATCGGGTAATGTCTGGAGGCATTTTGGTTGTTACACCTGTGGAGCAAGATGGGGTGCTAATGGCATCCGGTGGTTAAAGCCAGGGATGCTGCCATCCATCCTACAAGGCACAGGCAGCCCTCACGACAAAGAACAATCTGGCCCCAAATGCCAGCAGTGTTGACGGGAGACCCTGACCTCCGCCTGTGGTTCTTAATTCCCAGATCCCTGGGGAACCCGAGGCAGCTGCGGACCCTGTCCCCAGAAGGATCTCACGTGGAAGCATCGCGGTGCACAAAGGGCCAGGGCTTCCCACGCACGCCGAGCCCTGCTCACGCATCCTGAGGCCCAGGATGCCCGGGTCTGCAGCATCACGTCACAGAGAGCTGCCCCACCCTGGGGCACGCCTGCTCCGCAGCTGGTTTTCCACGTGTTACATCAACTCCTCAGAACCGCCCTGCGAGGGATGTGTTATTGCTCATACTCGACACAGGAGGGAACTGAGGCTCAACGAAGTGACGTGACTTTCCAGAGTCACTGAATAGGTGGCGGCACAGCCGGGGTTCAGTGCTAAGGGCCAGGTTCTTTTCATCTCTGGCCGCCTCCCCAAATCCACGCAGGTCAGCGTTCCAGCCAGTGACGAGACTACATGGTGGGCAGTGGAACTCCCGGTGGGTGCCCAGGGCCGCCGGGAGACACGCGCTTCTGCTGAAGGAGCTCTCACGACCCTCCCACCCGGGACTGCACATTCAGCCTGAAGAGGATGATGAGAAAGCCCGGGTTCGATGTGGCCACCTCGCCTCTACCTCTGAAAGGGGAAGACACTGTGTCAAGGAAGGGCTGAACCTCATCATGCTTCTGACGGGGCGCAGATGTTCACAATACGCTGGAAAGGAGCTCAGTGAGGCTGGAGGACAGGCCCAGATCAGAGTCCCGTGCACCTTGATCCCCCCAGTCAACATGCTGTCCTGCCCCTATCCCACGCATGGGCTCAGAGAACGAGGCAGCCAATGGCCTGCTTGGGGAGGGAAAGAGGCTACAGCAGAGGTGTTTACCCCACACCGCGGGCTCCCTTACTCATCGAAGAACAGCTGACTTCTACTGAGCGCTTACAAAGTGCCAGGCACTCTTCCAAGAGGCTACATGTATTAGCTCATCCAGTCACCGTGATGACCCTGTTGTCCTCATTTTACAGACCAGGAAACAGCACAGGGAGGTAAAGTAGCTCGCCGGGGGCTGCACGGCTGGAGAGCGGCCGACTGAGCTTCGAACCCAGGCTGGCTCCCAGGCAGCAGGAGGAGACCTCCCATACGCGAGTCTCAGAAACCAGGTCAATGACACACCTGAACGGCAGTCCCAAGAACCTATGGGCGACGTTATGTGAGGAATGACTACTATTAACCACCTCCCCCGAGCGCCACCCCCTCCCGCCCCCAGAGAATGAGCTGCAGTCAGGCCTCGGTGGGGAGGAGGAACCTGTGTGCTCCTAGTTGGCCCTGAGATGGAATTCCATGAAACCAGGGCGTGGACAGCGCGGAAAACATGCTGATGATCACCCGCCCTTTCCCTCTGTTTGCCTTCCACACCCCGTTCTAATGAAAAAGTATCCAAATCGTTGAAGGAGGAAAGCAAATCCATTTCCGTCAGAGGAGCTCCTGGCCCTAACAGTTTTACCTACACCTGCTGGGTGATGTCCAGCTTAGAAGTGTATGCTTTTCCCTAATGACATATTATCTTGCTTATTTGGAAATGCCATCTTGGCTATACTTAATCAGAGAGGAAGAGCAAATGCAGGGGGAACTGCTGCCCGACTCATCTTCCTCCCTCTTCTAGTCGGAATGTTGTTTGTTCTTCACCTGCTCAGAGCGTGTAAGGTGAGCTGAAGGAACAAGAGTGCTCGCATTCTGAAACCCCGAGCCAGCTGTGCTGGCTGACTCCAGCAGCAGATTAATTACCCAGGCAGGGGACACCGATGGACGGCACTGACTGGCTATCTGCTGTGATCCCAGCCAACATTCTCCAGGGGCCTCACCTCAGGTACACTTACTGGGGTCACTGGAGATCACGGGAATCCTATCAGCTTCTCAGTCGGCCAATGGAAACAGGTGATGTAAGAACATGGCCCCAGCACAATGCTGGTCCAGGTGTCAACACTGGTAAGGCCACCTTTCGACCTGAGCTGCTGCAACCCGGCATACACTCGGGGAGCCTGAGCTTCACCACTTAGGTGCCAGGCATAGTACGAAACACATTTATTTTTCATCACAATACTGTGTGGCAAGTGTGAGCCCTAGTTCACAAATAAGGGAAAGAGAGCTCAAAACGGTGAGCAACGTACCGTACCCAGTGCCCCGGTGAGAGCTGCACTGAACATGGTGTCTGGCAGATTTCCATGCCAACAAAGTAAACGTAGTGACACAGAAAACAACTGTGGAGGGGAGGAAGAAATGAAATACTGGTTGTATTTTAAACAAGTAAACAGTGCAAGAACTACAAAATGGAGCCAGAGGGACTTCTATGGTGAGGATGCGTTACAGGCCATAGTGATAACAGATGACTTCTTAATGGTAGTGATTTAGCGTTCTGGCGAGCAGGGTACTATAGATGAAACTTATCTTGCAAATCTAAAGGGATTTCCTCCTATACCATGAACTTATCACAAAAACACTGCTACCTAAGTCACAAGGTTAAAAGAAAGAAGGATGTATTGGTTAAAATAAATTTTAAAAAATATCTCTTCCTGTAATAATGCTTGGAAAATGGATCCAAAAACATGTTCTGAGATGAGCTAATGAAACACAAAATCAAATATAGAAAGCAGACAAGAGGGAGCTGGTAAACTCCAATGATCTTTGAGAGACAAAAGAGAAAACAGAAAAGAAAGGCAGAAAGTAAAATTGCAGAAATGGAAGATTTTATTGAAAGAAAAAACAGACATAATGGTAGATCATAAAACAATCAACAAGCTTACAACTGAATCAACATAAAAAAAAGAAAAAAAAAAAGAGCCGTTCCTTTTCTGAAATCTAAGGTCCTAAATGATAAAATTAAAAATTAATCATGAAAAAAAGAACATAACCCATCCTCTTCCTTCCTTTGGGGTATATGGCACCCGGTTGTCTTAGGTCTTCAACAAGCAATAACCTCATCTCATAGTAGGAATTCTCAACAGGGGACGTACTGCCCCCAAGGGGTTGAAGAAGGGTTTTTTGGGGGTGAAAAGAATCTCCTCTTTTTAGGCACAGAGCACAGACACACATCACATACATGCACCGTATATCTGTGGTATTACATTTTCAGGGGAGTAAATATCTAACACAGCTCCAATACTTTTTTAAAGGGGGCAATACTTCTTAAAAAGCTCAGAAATACTGCCTTACAGGAATTCTGATTTGGCTTTTCATCAAAAATGTAATCTAGAATTCTAAAACATCTTCTCAAACTCACATGGGTTTCCAAACTAAAGGAATAAAAAATGAAAAATACAAACATGTGGCTGGGTAGTGTTAGGTAAAGGGCAGGCATTTTATAATGCTTCAAGGAAAAAGAGGTGTTTTCCCACGAGTTTAATCATCTGGGGTGTCCCTGGTAGTACAAAGGGAATTGGCCCTGGAAAAGGCGGGATTCAGGAGGCACAGAACTCATTGGCCTCCACAGCCCACCGACTGGCCCCCAAAGAGTGGCTGTCTGGGAACTTTGCTCAGAACACAGAGCCATACTCTTTATTTGAAGATCGAAGCAGAACATGTGAGCTGACAAACTGTAAAGAGCAATTGCAAACCACTTTCATATGGTTATTGAGAAAACCCTCCCTCCCTGACACCAACACTTCTGAGAAGTCAAAGTATTAATTCTCTACACTGCTCGGACCCCTGGGCGGGACCCTGGGCTGGGCCTACGGGATTTCTGAGCACCTGAGCAGTGCTTCTGCCTCTCAAAAAGACTTGTATTTCTAAGGATCTAGATGCAAGAGAGAGAGAACTAGAAAGCCAAGGTCAGCTCATTCTTTTCTTTGGCTTCCTGGCTGAGGTTAGTCGTGGGTACCGTGTGTGCATTTCCAAACCTGCACTGGGGAGCGGGGACCCAGCCAGAGCCCTCAGAGGAACTCAAACCAGCAGCGCGGGCGGCTATCCCTGAAGAAAAAGGAGTATGCATGGCAGATGCTCCCTGCTGGCTGGTGGTGGATCAGAGACCACAGGGAGTCACCCAGCAGGGCAGAGAGGGGCCGAGGGCCCTGGTGATCACCTTCCAGCGGCTTCACGATCTGGAGCTTCTCGGGCAGGTAGGAGCGGCTGCTGAAGGACATGCCCGAGAAGCCGGTGAACTCGGAGAAGCGGGAGTGCGTGCCCAGGGACATGATGCTCTCGGTGGGCGTGAGGGAGCCGCTGAGCAGCTCGCCCTTCTCTGCCAGCTCCCGGAGCTTCCTCTCCTGCTCCTCCTCGAAGAACCTCCGCTCCGACAGGTAGTTTTCCCGGCGGAGGGACAGCCGCCTGAGCGCCGTCTCCAGGTCGTGGGAGCCTGGGGTGCCCGGTGTTCCTGGCTTCTTACTCTGCTCGTCGTTTCTGGAAGGAGGGGAGACACGTGAACGTGAACAGTCAGCAGGAGGCGCTGCGCAACGCACACGAGGCTTACTGCTGAGTGCGCAGGGCGGCGTCGGGGTTTCCTAAGGACACGGCAAGCCTTCGAGATGCAGGCATAAATGGGGACAATGTCTGTCCTGAAGAACTAATTCCCTCTTGGTTTTCTTTTCTGGGTGTGGGGGGGAGCAGAGGGAAGAAACCACTCAGGCAGAATGAAAATGTACACTCATGACATACTATCCGGTCCCTATAAACACCTCCCTTAGAAAGAAGCAGTTCCTAGATTCAGGAAGGGCAGCCAACTCAGAGGACGCTTCTCTTTCTCCTTGAATTTAAGGAGCAAAAAGCTCAAAACTGTCCTGATCAAGCAGTTTCCCAAGGGTGTGACCCAACTGGTCAGAAAAACCAGTTTTATTAAGTCACAAGAACAGTGTGCACAGTAGTGTTCTGGATGGCGGGGGACCAGCCACTGCTGAGGGGGGCCCACCTCAAGGACACTCAGTGTGGTGGGCACTTGTGGGGTGCCCTGCACCCCCCCTTCTGAAGCAAACCAGATTCTGGTCATGAGATAGAGCCTGCGTCCTTCTCAGCCTTTCAAACACCTCAGCCACCAAAAGGTTCCTGAAACAGATGTCTATCCTGTCGCCTTCACAGTGAAAATGAACAGTAACGACTATTTGCCTATCCTTCCCTGTGGCATTTTACAGAAAAGCAGACTTCCTGCTGCATCCCATAATACCGCTTCACACTGGTTAAAACATCAGCATCAAGGATAAGCACGGACTCAGCCGGTCGGTAAAACACATCTGAGCGCCGAAGGGTCTATTTTTCAGGTGATTCTTATCAGTCTCCCTCTTCTGATTACTGAACCTGCGTTCAGTCCACACCACCTCTCTCCAAGACAGAAAGTAAAGACTCCTGGCTGGCTCACCCCAGGGGGGCCGACTCTGCTTCCAGGATGATGCTGTTGGTCTTGTTGTCCAGGACGACATTGCCGACGTCGCTGCCGTAGAAGCTGGATCGGGGGGTGCTGACACAGCTGGACAGGAGGGAGTTCATGGCTGAGGACTGGTTGGAGCCCGGGATGTTCATGGGGGAGGGAGTCAGAGACCTCTGCTTGACGACCTGGTTGATGTTTCTCACCGTCTCAAAGACTCGCTTCTGGTGACTGGGGAGAAGCAACGACATCATCCATGAATAAGCAAGTGTAGGAACGTCCCAGAGTTAAACCCTCCAAAAACTATCGACTGAGAAGCCAAAGGGCAGCTGGCCCACGCCAGCCCAAGCAAGCTGCCGTGCTGTGCCTTCCACGTGTTTTTCAGGGTGCTGGTTGGAATGGAGGCTCCCCGCCCACTGAATTCAGGGCTCTAATACACGCCTGTGTCTTGCCAGGTGATGCTAGCAGGACGGGTACTACTTTCCACCTCCCTCAGTCTTGACCTACAAATAAAAATACTTAGGAAGTGCTGTCTCCCAGCTAGTCTTCTTTTCCCATGACGGTCACTAGAATGCACACGCCAGGGGGCAGTGTCCCCTGCTCAGCACATCACAGGGCTCAGCAAATATCTGTAGCATGAGTTTTTCTTGACTATTCACATACAGTCATGTGCCGCTTAATGACGGGTACGGCCTGAGAACCGTGTTGTTACGCAATTTTGTCACAGTGCGAACATCCCAGAGTGCACCTACGGAAACCTAGACGACAGAACCAACTGCTCCTGGGCTACACGTCTGTACAGCACGTCACTGTACAACACAACACGGGATTAACTCGAGCACAAGAGCAAAATGCACTCCAGAGTCGGGTGAACCTGGGGTAAGTGAGGCTGCTGCTGGTGTGGCACAGGGTAAAGCAAATGCATTCTTAAAATGCGGAGAGGACACTAAAAAAAATGATAACGAGTATAGCAAATACATAAACCAGTAACCGCGTGGGCTATCATCATGATCCGGTAGTATGTACTGTACGTGACTGTGTGCGGTACACTGGGATACGGCATCACCGCAGACGTGACGAGCTGTGTTAGGCATATGACAGCTCTGACGGCACTGGGCGGTAGGGATTCTCAGCTCCATGATAACCGCATGGGACCACCATCCTATGTGTGGTCCGTCACGGACCGAAACGTCATTATGCAGCGTACGACTGTGTATTAAAAAAAGGAAGACTTAGTCCTCAGCGTCTGAGGTGATGAATGCCAGATTAGTCTGTTTTTAGAAACTGTTATTTCTAAGAGCGGAACCACACATTCTGATGCTCATTTGTTCCCTTTTAAGGAGAAAAAGGCACATTTCTATAAGGGATGCTTCCTTCCGGGATGGGGCTTCACACACGTGTCAAGGCTCAGGGACACTGGGCCCCTGGATCCCTCTTCGGGTCTGTCCACGGGGCTTTGGTACAGAGCACACGATGAACTCGGACCCACAGGACCTCACTAACAGCTCAGGGCAGGCCAGGCGCGAGGTCTCAAGTTAGAAGGGAGATAACAGAGGCCAAAATCCCTTCGCGGATCCCCAAGGGAAACGGAAGCTTGCTCACACCCCTCCTGAAGAGCCCTCTGTATCTCACATCCTGTGTTTCCTTTTCCTAAAAGATGCTAACATTTTAAAATCATGTTTTTCACTGAGAGGCAAGGTAACAATGAGTGCAGGTGTGAAGACGCAGCGTGAGTTGAGAGGCGGCAAGTACCGCTCTCCTCTCCCGACTTGGGGGAAGCTCATCTATAAACCCTAACAAGAGGAGCTGGGGATGCCGTCAGCTGTGTCCTCTGATCTCCTCAGTCTGCAGGACCACAGTGACCACTGCTGGTGCCAGAGGCCCAAACACGCCCGCTGTGCCACCGCAGCCACCCGCGGTCTCCAGGGAGCCCAGAAGTGAGGCGTACGCGATGTCGGGTGACTCGGGCTCTTCCAGCTGGAGCTCCTTCCGCATCGTCCCCTCGATCTCGGCTGCCAAGGAGTCCTGGGAAAAGCCAGAAGACACACGTGTGAGCAGCAACTCAAATGCGCTCTCTAAAAGAGGCACGTGCTCAGGCTAGCCACAGAAGGGTAAACTGAGGCCTCAGAGCCCACAGAATTCCCGTAAGGCACGGCTGACAGACTGGCCGTCGTCAGAGACCCGGGCTGAGCAATCCCCAGGCCGGTTCTGAACGCAGCAGGCACCGAACGGAGCAGGCGCCCAGGGCACCGAGTGGGAAGCCCCTTCACTCCCACGCAGCTAAGGGTCTGAAAGCCAATCCTATGTTCCCTCGGCCAATCCACGGAGCCGGGGCTGTGGCCACAGGAGAGCCAGAGAACGTAGGGAGGGCGAGAGGGCTGTGTTCAGAATGACACCGATGGGCAAACTTCCATAGGCCAACAAGGTTGAGCAGTCAGAGATGATGCCATGGCCCACGTGGGCCGCACTAAGCTAGTGTCCTCCCGGTCTGCAGGGGCTGCCAACTGCTCCGCTCGCCCAGGGCTCTGAGCGCTCACCGTTTCTCACGGAATGAGGTAGAACCTAACAGACAATCCCACGCAGGAATCCAGGCAGACGTCAACGGAACCAGGTGTGGGCAGAGGTCACCCAAGCTGGGACAACCTGAAGGGAAGGACTAAAGCCGCGCTAGCCAACCGAACTTCCTGTGATGACGGACATGCTCTTTTCTGTCCAACATGGGGGTCACCCGGGGCCACTGAACCCTTGGAATGGGGCCAGTGTGACTGAGGAACTGAATTCTTAATCGCATTTAAATGAATTGATTTAAATGAAATGAACTGAAGTACATTTAAGGCATCATGCACTTTAAAAATAGACATCTTCAAAAACAGAGCTGTGCCATCAGCTACAGAAACAGATAAACAAAAGCTTTATCTCAGCAAATGTGAAGCTGAGACTCTCTCCAGAAGAAACCCAACCGCAGATTTTCAACGTCTCTCACGTGATGGTTTAAATCTGAAAAACACAGGTCAGGCCTTGAGCGTGCGGAATGCAATGGAGCGAATCTAGTCGCACGGGGCCTGGGGGGCCACTGCGCCCACATGAGAAGCCAGGAAGGAGGGAAACTGAGGCAAGAAGTGTGCACAGCTACCCAGGCCAGTCGGTAAGCCCAGTGTCAGCTCTACAGCAAGGAATTGGGGGCCAGAATGTTCTCTGCTGGGGTTCCTAGAATCACTGGGTCACCAGTCTGCTCCTGGGAAGCTGGCTAGTGATGTTCTGGGCCTTTCGTTTTGGTTTCATTAGATTTCAGTCAAGTTGAGAGAAGAGGAGGAACAGGTCTAGCCTGATGAGGTAGGAAAGCAACAAAGGAACAGAGATCATGATTTAGGAAGAGCAGACGACAAGGGGTAGGGTGAAGGGGAAGCGCCCCAAGGAAGACCAAATCCGGAAGGGACCAAGCTCCACCGACATCTATGCGGCCATCCACCCCTGTCCCAGTCGGGGGACTTTAAAAGTCCTCCCCTCGGAGAAGCCGCCATTTCACCAAACCATGGAAACAGGCCCCAGATATAAAGGTTCTGGGTAGTTTGTTCTCCGGTCCGGCCATCCACTATCCAAATCTAGTATTTATTAAGCATCTACAAGGCTAGGTCAGGTCGTAGAGAGACGGAAGGAGGACGGCGGTGGACAGACATGGCGCGCACCGCCCAGGGCTGGGGTCTGAGGAAGCTCAGCAAGGGTCACAGGGCACCTGCCCAACAACCTGAGGGAGTGACCTCGTGGAAACCCTCAGCCCTGCTCCCTGCAGCCCAAACAGGAAACAGGTCCAGCTAGGGCTACACAAAAGGTGGAGAAAAAATAAGGTGAAAAATATAAAAATGCCACGCCTAACCCTGGCTGGTGTGCTCAGTGGTTAGAGCATCGGCCCTCATACCAGAGTTTCAGGTTCGATTCTTGGCCTCGGTTGCAGGAGGCAACCAATCAATGAGTCTCTCTCACATCGATGTTTCTCTCTCTCTTCCCCTCCCTCCCTCCCACTTGCTCTAAAAATCAGTAGAAAACAATAACCTCAGGTGAGGATTATCAACAACAAAAAACCACACCTAGCACAGAGAGCAACGTTTTCCAGATCACAGACACTGACCCACCAGCAGATGGATTAATAAGCCTACAAAGAGCCTGCAGCACCATTCAGGGAGTCTGGAACTCAGGAAGGTGCTGGTGAGACCACAGTAGCACATATTCTCATAAGGTCAGAAAAACAGTGTATAGATAACATCTTCCAAATAGCGTAGGTTCCTACTAAATCCAGTTTTACTAAATTTCTTCAGAGCAGGAGGAGAAAAGACAAGATGCAGAGGGATGGGAAATAAAGACCCAATCTGTCTCCCATAGCCAAGAGGCCAGTGGCTGGGCTCAGGAGCCCTCAGCTCGAACCCGGGTCCAAGCTGTAAAATGAGAGGCCCCTGTGCACAGACTCCACCCCAACCCCGCCTCCGGGTGGCACAGGGGTGTGAGGACGCAGCAGCACGCACCATGGGGAACAGGCCCAGCGAGTGGTAGCGCCGGGACGTGGTGTTGGGCACCGTCTTGTTCCGGAGGTTCTTGAGCTCCTCCTGCGCCTCGTGAAGCATCTCCATGCACTCGGAGTACTTGTCCTCCAGTTCTCGCAGCTGCAGGGGCCAGGGCAGCAGCTCGTGAGCACTGGGGTCATGCCCCACACCCCCACCGCCCGAAAGACCCTGCACGCTCACAGAGGCCCCGGCACCCTGCGGCCTGAAGCCAATTGCCTGCCGGTCCTCAAGGTTCAGTTTCTCTTTCACGTGGAACACACTTACAGACTCAGAAATCTCCTAAAACTCTAACCGGGGGCAACTGAGATTAGAAATATGTGCAACCAAATGGGAGAGCACACCGTGATACCGTTTCAAGGGTGTCTTTGAATGGGCTCCCCTTGCGTGGCCCCGTGTCAGCTCTGACTGGCCGGTTTGTGCAGAGCCCGTGCACGCCTGGCTCCGGGCTGGTGCAGAGCCCAGTCTCCCAGGTGCTCACCACCAGTGACTGCATCAGCGGGAGTCGGCTTAGGGGTAAAAACGACCTTTAGTTCAATATAAAAATGGCTGTTGAGGTTTGGCCGGTTTGGCTCAATGGTTAGAGCATCGACCCATGGACCAAAAGAGTCATGGGTTCAATTCCGGTCAAGGGCACCTACATCGATTGCGGTTTGGTCCCTGGCCCTGGTTGGGGTTGTGCAGGAGGCAACCAGTAGATGTGTTTCTCTCACGCCAATGTTTCTCTCTCTCTCTCTCTGTCTGAAGATAAAGGAAAAATATCCTCGGGTGAGGATTTAAAAAAAAAAAAAAAGGTTGTTGGGGGGAACACGACCCACAGCCCACCAGAGAGGCTGATGCCCCCTAATTGGCATCAGGGGCCCCGGTGAAATGAGGGGGAGCCACTTACCTCGGCAGTGAGCTGCCGCTGGGCATCCTTGGCGGCCCCCAGGTGCTGGACGAGTTCTTCATTCTCCACTGCGCACTGAAACGGGCACAGGGCGGTCAGCGTCTCTCTCAGGACACTTAGCAAAGTCTAACTCTCCCTTCTAATGACCTGACCCGTTAGGATCCCACGACACTGCTGCAAGGACGTTTATCTTACACTGGAGGGAATTTCTGTCTTTTATGGAATTTTGAAGGCAGTCTTTCTACACCCATATTCATTCTGTGCCCCACCCACCCCACCCCAGTCAGCTGCTCTCCAGAAGCACTTCACCTCAAGCTTCTGCAAAGGCCAAATAGGGAAAACCAAACTGTCTTCTGGCTGCTTCACCTAAAGGGGGCGCTGTTCTGCTGCAGAACAGACCAGGTGCGGGTGTAAAAACAAATACTAGACTAGATGACTCATAAGTTAATTTCCCAAACTCCTTATCTACAGCACCTTTCATAGTGAATTCCATTACTTTGAAGATACTCTTAGGAGAAAAGTGGTGATAAATAGCAAATTACTGAATCCACTAAGCTCCTTCTCCAAAGGGCAGCCTCTCCTAAGATAGGAAACCAAAGGGCACTGCCTTGTGGGGTGGAGGCCCTTCTCGGCGTCAGCACGACCCCTGTGTCGGCCAGGGAAACGGGGCCTTACAGCTTTGGCCTTCTTCTGCAGGTCAACGATCTGGGACAGCAGGTGCGTGATCTCCTCCTGCTGGCGGGCAGCGTCTTCGGTCTTCTTGGCCAGCTCCTCGGAGATACTGGCAATCTGCACGTTGGCGTCCCCTTGGGCCGAGAAACAACAATCACTCTTCGAATCGGAAAACCCCACAGGCAGACCAAGAGAAAAGGATTTCTTTGTGGCTTGTACACGGAAAAGCACCTCTACTAGGAGATGGGGATGGGTCGGGGAGATGGGGAGCAGGAGGACATATGAAGAAGGAACTTTGCTCTATGGTGAAGCAAAGCAGAGTGGCTTCCTCTGGCTCCCTCTGGCCCGAGGAGGAACCTGGCCCGGCTGTGGCCTCCAGGCTCAGTGTGAGGGCCCAAGCCCACTGACCAAGGCTGCCTGCCCAGAGATCAGGCTGGCCTCGGGAGCGAGCCAGGAGGTGCCACACCCACACAACGGTGCGCCTGGCCAAAACCCACTTTCCCACCGGAACGAACCCGCGTCATTACTAGCACTTCCTGCTGACCCTGCTCTAGAAGGGAAGTACTGCCCTGCACAGAACGACCCCCTGGGTGCTCTCCACCGACATTCGGAGCCATACTCGTTTTACTAGATTTCAACAGGGGGTGTGTTTCATTTACTTAGTGTTTTGCTGAAACTCAAAATAGTCTGTTTACCGCTTTGTCTAATCTTAACTTGTAAATCTGTAGTGGGGGGAGGGGCAGGTGGTGACAAGAACTCTTTGCCTCAAGTTTCACAAATCAAATGACTAGAAAGCGGTTTTTCCACCTTCAACGCAGAACTAACTCTGAAGCTACGCCTAACTAAGCCATTAAAGGACCCCAATTGGCCAGTAGAAAGCCAAATCAAAATTAAATGCCCAGTTCAGCGAGAAATTGAGACAACGTATGGCTGGCAACCAACCCTAATTTCTCACAAATCGGGGCGAGGGGGTCCATACCAGACTGGGAGACGTCGCGTTTGAAGGAAAATGCTAGAGCCCTGGTGGCCGGGAGACTGCACCTCGTCAGGGGACGCGAATCTGTCTGTTCTCACGATGGCAGGCACAGGACATAAGAAGAGGGCTTAGGAGTGGGGTGAGGGCCAGGGACATACTCAGCTCCTTCACGCAGTCATTGACCAGCTGCTGCTCCTTCTCCTCATAGGTGATGGTCTCCGTCTTCAGCTGGCAGGCCTGTGGACAAGGCCCAGGTCAGAGGCCCGTATTCACACCTGGACTGCTGGGGTAGGCCAGGCTGGGGCATGGAGCAAGGGCTCCCCTGGGTCTGGAAAGTCACCCACTGCACCCTCAAATACAGAAAGTTAATCTGAATCTCAGAGTCTCAAAGCTGGAAAATGTACCACTAGAGGGCGCCACACAAAGCCACGCGCTTTACTAAAACTGCAAAGAGCCGTCTCGTGTCCAGTCTGTCTGTCTATTCATTTGTATCTGTCCCGGCTCACAGCCTAAACCTGTTTGCGGCGAACAGTGCCCAGGACACAGCTCTGTCTATGGTGGATATTCTAAGGATAACCACACGAGAATGGCTAACATGTTCTTCCATGATGTGCCAGGCACTGTCCTATGTGGTTCTGAGTTGGCGTTAAAACGACTGCTTTCAGCTGAGAAAAAAAAAAACAAACAAAGCAGGCTATGAAAGAATTAAAATTCAGAGAGCCACGAGCTATTCCAGGACTTGGCATTGCTTGCTCCCTGCTAAAAAAGTGGGAGGGTAGAGGTCTGAAGGTCCCCGTTAGACAGACGGTGTCTCTGAGCCCTCAGATCCTGGCCCCAGAGAGACACGACCCTCCTGAAAGCCGAGGCGGTGTAGCCAGACTCTGGCAGGGATTCCCTGGTAGCTTTAGGTGAAGACTCCGAGAGGGACCTTCGCTGCGTGCCCCGGACTGAGCGCTTCCCTGGGGCAGACTGGGAGGGCAGCACCCGACTCAGAATGGGGAGCATTGGGCTGTGGTCTTGGCCCAGCCACTGGCTGGCACAGTTCAGACAACCCCTCAGTGAACGAGGGAGTGGGAGAGGTGAAGTCCAGGACAGCATGACCCTTTCCTCGTGCCTACGAGTGTCCTGTTCAGCCCAGATGTGAGGTTCTCTCCATGGTGTGGGCAAGTTTAAAGGGACAGGTGGTGTGTTCTCCTGGAGGGGCTCAGGGGAGCGCTGGGCCACCCTGGTGGAAACCAGCCCTCACTGGGCCAACTACGGCCTGATAAACAGGGCTGCACCCAGCAGCCTGCGTCATAGTCTTCCCACTAGAAATGAGACTCAAAGTCACCAGCTTGCAGCCTGGTTGTGAAAATTTTAAAAAATGACGCAGGCAAAATGCCTAGCACAGAGACTCGCCAATCAGAGATACTCAAAAGCACGAGTTCCCAAGCTGCCTCTGTTCAGCCTTGTTAACTGTCTAAGAAAGGTGTCTCCAAGTTCTCGGGCACTATTTCCTCGGATACTGTTTCCTGTCACCCGCGGTGACATGAACATGAGGCCTTCGCACTAGGCCTCCGAGTCGTGTCCGTCAGAGCCGAGAACACCTTGGAAAGACCCCACTGCGGGAGCTTTTGCCTAACTGTGAAGGGGGATGGGTTGCCACCTGTGCCTGTCCACGCGCTGCAGCTCCCCGTGGGTCTGGCCCAGCCCCGGGAGGCAACGCCCAGCATGCAGATGAGCCAAGGTCCAGGTGTTCTTCCACACTGTGGCCTTTGAGAATGCACGGTAACCATGGCTGTTCTCACCAGACGAGGTGAGCAGGGCCACCACCCCTCCAGAGGGGACAAGAGCGGACTGTGGACATCACCTCGGACCGAAGTACAACGTTCTCCTCTTCGAGGTCCTTCAGCTTCTTCTGAAGAGAATCCAGATGGAAGTAATTCTGGACCGAGGAGGATGACTCGTTCCTCTTCAACCTGGGGGGATGGTACGATCGATCGCTTTCTAGGGACACACGTTCCTCCCACCACCAGGGAGGCCCGGAAACACGCAGCCGTGACCGGGACCCTCAGGCTGCTCCCACACCCCCAGAACAATGGCAATCTGCCAACACACAGGCTCGCTCCCACTTCAGACTCACACCCCAACCCTTTCCCACAATCTGCAGTGGCCACATGGCTGAGAATCCGGGGGAATCAGCTCTGTTCGAAGCCCACACGTTCCGGAATGCCTGGGACTTTAACATTGATAATGCGCCGCTCTGTGCCAACGACCGTTTAAATAGCTGTATTACCTCACGTAATGTTCATAACCCTGTGAGCTAAGTGCAGATAAGCGCAGATAAGGCGACAAGCACAGAGAGGTTAAGTAACTTAGCCAAGGGCACCCAGCTAGGAAGCCACGGAGTCGAGAACGGAACTCAGGCCACCAGCTCTCGTGCTGCTAACACGAGGCTCTGCTCCCAGAGGCCCCACCACAGCACCCCGGGTGCCAGGACTCTGCCTTCTCTAACAGCAGAGCCCACCCTGTCACCCACTGACACGCCAGGCCAAATCAGTCTCAACCGACATGAACAAGAGGACCCAGGAGAGGAAAACGGAAACTCCACGCCCCACTAACACGGTGAAGTCAGTCTGCGCGAGGCACACGGAGGTGCCTGGTCTGGAGGCCGGGAGCGGCTGCCCTGCCCTGCTGGAGAAGGCGCCCCGGCCAGGCAACGCCAGGGCACGGACGGCCACCAGGGCATGGACACGCCCTCTGGGGACTTACGGGGTTGAGCACGTGGACTCGGGCTCGCTCTCCTCCGCGGCGCTGGTGTAGAATTGGAGCAGCTCGTCCTTCATGGACAGCTCATGCCGGAGCTGAGACACCTGCACCGACAGACCAGGGCCCGTCATTCGCACCCAAACACAACGATGTCCCCACGCGTCCCCACTTACTGCTCAGTGACAGCATTTTTTAAATTCCGGCTTCAAAGTGAAGGCCTATAACTGAGTTTGTGCTGTTCAAAGGAAACGAACAGTGGCGTTTCATCCCATTTCAGAAATATACGAAGAATTACTTTTTTAGCCCAAATCTCTCTGCCAACATTTATAATTTTTACTTTGGTACAGAGGAGAGGTGAGAGGGGTCTAGAAGGCTCTAGAATGATGCTTGCGGCACAAGATGGCACATGGGCTTTGCAAGCAGCTGGGAAAATGCCCAGAGACATGGGTCATCTTCCCAAATGGAAGATGAGGCCATTAGCTTCTGGTAAAACCAAATGCCACCCGGAACCAGGGCTCTGGGGATGCCAGCTCTGGGTGGGCAGCTATTAGCAGCTTGTCAACCCTCGTTCTCACACTTCGCAAACCTCACAGTCCCACCCTGTGCTGCTGCTGCACCCCCACAGGGCTCCGGGCCATGCCTGGCCACCAGTGCTCTGTACCCAGTGATCACCAGGAAGGAATTTCAAATACGGGACGAAAAGTAGCAACTAGCACAAACGGGCCATGCCAACTACTACTAGGTCAGTTTTGCAAGAGCCACAATTCCGTTTTAATTCTTTCTTGTTTCTAATTTGATTTGGGGGGCAGGGGGAGGTCTGTGGTCTATTGCAACTTTCCAAACACACTGAATCTAGTCCGACACCACGGGGAAGCTGATTCTTTGTGCACACGGGCTCTAGCGTCCACGCTCAGACTGACACTGTACTGATGTGACGGGGGGAACATATAGCTTTCAAAGTCAAAGCTTTCCCAAGGGACAAAAGGCATTTCCAAACCGAAGCGTAGGATGCCCTTCGTGTGAGGCGAGGAAGCCACACGCAAGGGCGTGACATGGAGAAGTGGCATGTGAGGGACAGCGAGCGACCACTCACTGGGTCCTGGGTGGCACGTCCCTCTGCTCGGAGGGGGCTGAGAAGGGGCCGGGCTGACTGGCATGCTTCCGTTATCCAGAGCAGGGGCATTCAGGCCATGATGGGGGGCAGGGAAAGCAGGGGTCAACTTATTTATCTGAGAACATGAGCACACACTGTCATCTTTTAAAGAAAGCCCAGGGAGAAAGCTTTTCCGATAGAGCGGCAACTCTGTTTCATCATCTTAAACTGTTCTTAAACCCAGACGTCCAGAGCTGGGAATAACTCTGAAGAGGAAAAAGTGTGACTACATCTTAGGGACATGAATAAGGGCCTCCCCTCCCACTAAGACAGAAGATACGGGAAAAGAAATGAGAAGGAGAAAACCCAATGAAAGTCCTCACAATTAAAATTCAGTTTGTAACAAACAAACAAACAAACTCATAGACACAGACAACGGAATGGTGGTCACCAGAGGGGGGGGGGATGGAGAGGGCAAAGGGGGTCAAATACAGAATGACAGAAGGAAAAGGGACTTCGGGTGGTGAGCACACAGATGACGTATTGTAAAGTTGTACATCGGATATTTATATAATGTTATTAACCAATGTTGCCCCCAAGAAATTTAATGAAAATCAATCAATCACTGTAAAAGAACGGGATGATGGATAGAACTTTCAAAGTGGAGTCTGGCTCTAAGCCCCCATCCTTGTTGGGCCAACCCCGTCAGATGTCACAGAGCCTTCCCCCTCCTGTCCGCCCCCCAGCACTTCCAGAAAACCCGTGTTGCCATCTCCAAAACCTCGGCCCCTTAGGGTAAGCCTACGACTTTCATGCCCGCCCCTCACCACTGATACCCAACAGCCAAGATTTGTGTCATGAAGACAATGGGGATTCTATCAGGAAAACAACAGGTTACTTTTTTATTTACAAACACAACGTTGCACGATGCCTGGGCAGTGGCTGCCTCCCTCTGCAGCGTGGGCTGGCCCCTCCTGATAGGGCTCCTTCTTCGGCCTGCCCACTCCACTCAGGAACCCTTCTCGTCCTATCGCCTGCCTGCACTGTGGCCAAGCCCTGAGCCTCTCTCTCGGCCACGTGACAATCTGGACTCTTGGAGGGAAGGGGTGGTGGCTACCCGGCCTGCCACGGGACTGGGCGCTGTGCACCTGCCAACACAGTGGGGTCTGTGGCACCCTGGGCGATCCCGTCCCCACTGTGGGTAGGAGACTGAACAGGAGCTGCAGGAACGCAGCATCCTATGTCCCGGTGGCCACTCCAGGACAGGCAGCTCTGGGCTCGGGCTTGGGCGAGCCCCCGAGAGGGCCTTTCCGAATGGCACCGTTACATCAACCTCCACCACGCCTGCGGCCCCCGCTCCTCACCTCCTCCCTGATGTGCTCCACCTGCTCCTCCAGCAGCTCATTCCTCTCGGTGAGGGTCTTGTTCTTCTTCAACAACGACTGGCCAATCCGAGCAGCCAATTCCAGATCCCGCTCTTTCTGTGAGGCAGAGGGAGAGCAGAGATTCAAAACAATGCTCAGGCTTCCTGAAGGAGCCAGTGGCGGAAAATCAGGGCTTTGAGGAATAACAGAGGGATTAATAACTCACCACCCATTCACCAGCACGCGATACCCGTTCAAAGAGGTGCGCACTCGGCCCACGTACGTGCGGGAGCTACGCAGACCTCAAGCGATGAAAGGAAACCTTAACATCTGATGAAAACAGTCTCTGTTCCAACAGGAAAAACCTGCTTCCAAGGACAACTGTTGGGTATTGGTGCAGCCTTCTGATAACCAGTCTCTCCGGGACACCTGAGGGCTGGGCTACTGTGTGACCAGGCACTGGTGCATGGAAACACCCAGTGACCATTTGCTGGGTGAATGAATGGACCCAGAAATTCCAAAGTGCTCCCACGATAAAGCCGAGAGCCATGTGGGGAGGAGAGGCAGCCTCTTCAGTACAATTAAACTGGCACTGACCAACCTCCTCACATTTGCCTCATACGAAACAAAAATGTCTCAGGTTATTCTGAAATACAAAAACATATTTCTTTTACTTAATGGGAGGCTATTTAGGCTTTATTAAAAAACAGAAACAAAAAAACTGGCTGGTGTGGCTCAGTGGTTGAGCATCAACCCATGCACCAAGAGGTCGCTGGTTCAATTCCCGGTCAGGGCACATGCCCAGGTTGTGCGCTTGGTCCCCAGTGGGGGGCAGGCAGGAGGCGGCCAGTTGACGTTCTCTCTCATTGATGTTTCTATCTCCCTCTCCCTTCCTCTCTCTCTAAAATCAATAAAGAAAAATTATTTTATTTTTATTTAACTTTTAATCCTCACCCGAGGATATTTTCTATTTATCATCAGATAGAGTGGGAGGGAGGGAGAGGAACAGAGAACCGCCGACGTGAGCGGGACATCGACTGGGTGCCTCCCAAACAACCCAACCAGGCTGGGGACAAACGGCAACCAAGGTACGTGCCCTTGACTGGAACTGAACCCGTGACTCATTTGGTTTTAACCGCGGAGCCAAACCGGCCAGGGCAGTAAAGAAAAATTATTCTTAAAAATACATTCAAAATGGAGAGAGAATGCATGAAATTGCCCTACTTCAGAGTCAAAGGCGTGTAACAGACGCAGAACTTTCTGTCAGTTCAGCTGATGGCATCGCTCGGGGCAGAGCAGGGCACCGAGGAAAATCCTGCGTGGCACATACAGTCAGCTGCCTTTATGGGGGGAAGCTGTCCCCGGACGGTAGGAACAGTGGGGTGGCCGCTGTCGCCAACGCAGACTTCCTGGCCCCGCTGGAGGGGCTGCTTGCCACTGTTAGACCCAACCTGCTCAGGGTTAGTGGGGGCTGGCAAGGGGAGGGGAACTCGGGAAACAAAATTATTTTGGAAGCCTATGCCAATTATTCTGTTCACCTGGTATAAAAAGCAGATGAGCCCTGGCCAGTTTGGCTCAGCGGTGCAGAGAGACCCGGGTTCGGTTCCCGCTAAGGGCGTACCTCGGTTGCAGTTTGTCCCCGGCCCTGGTTGGTCGTGCGGGTGGCAACCACTCGATGTGTCCCTTCACGTCGATGTTTCTCTCTCTCTTCCTCTCTCTCCCTCGGGTGAGGATAACAAAATAAATAAATAAATAGATAGATAAATAAATAAATAAATAAATAAAAAGCAGATGAACGGGAACATTAAGTTGTTAAGAAAAATAACCTAAATGGACCCACTTTAAAACGAAGCTGGAGCTGCTGTCCCAGAACAACGGCCTTGCACGTCTGATGCCCCCACCCCCAAAGTGATCGAGCAGGGCACCAAAACCTCCCACCTGCGCCTACGGCGACCTGCGTCCCAAAGAACTGGCCACAAGGGTAACAAGAAAGCACACACTGTGACTACTGGGCTGATAACTGCCCGACCGGAAATGAACAACATGCTTTAGAAGAAAGAGCACTCTCCGTTGGCGTCTCTGCACCAACAGAAATGCCATCCCTCTGCTGGAGGAACTGTCCCCATTTCTCACACACATCTCGGCCTCGGCCTCCCCATCGGCACTCTCCTCGGGTTCCCGCCGGAAGCAGTGCTTCCCGGATAGCTGCTCTTTCTTTTTTAAAAATCCCCAATAAATGCCTGCTGCCTCTCATTTTGAAACAGCCTTTGATTTCTAGGTTACTGTGGTTGAGATCAGAAACACCCGGGAGGAGCTGTGGCCTCTGGTGGACTATTACCTGCATGACCCTGGCCAGTGTCCCCTGCTCAGAGGGGCAGGTACCTTCTAGATTCGTTTTCCCCAAAGACAGGTAATAACCCTGCAGCAGGCTGAGAACCATTTTAGCAGTGACAACTGACATTTCGGTTTAAATGCAATTCAGCAGCACAGAACTGAAATACCAAAGTGCCCTCCACGTAATAAGGGTACAAGTTCACATTTAAAAATTTGCTTGTCATACATTAACTTCTGTGAGTACTGGGTCACAACCTAAGATGTGTCCTACAGGGGTACTGGTCCAAAGCTTCCTGCTCCAGGTGAACTGTTCTAGTCTGAAACTGCGAGTTCGGGTTCTGATGGAACATGTCTGGGCCTGGCTGGCTGTCAGGGGGAGGAGGGTGGAGGGGCAGACTAGCTGAGATACCCTTGAAAAACATCTTCTAGCTTAATGATTCACTGACTTGTACAATAAAAAAAAAAACACCATCAGCAGCTTTTATTTCAAACTTCTTTTTTTTTTTAAATATGTTTTTATTGATTTTTTTAGAGAGAGAGGAAGGGGAAGAGAGATAGAAACATCAATGTGAGAGAGAAGCATCATTAGCTGCCTCCTGCACGCCCCCTACTGGGGATTAAACCTAAAACCCAGGCATGTGCCCTGACCGGGAATCAAACTGGGATCTCTCAGTCCATGGACGACGCTCAATACACTGAGCCACACTGGCTGAGCTATCTCTAACTTGTCACACATCCACTGAACTATTCTGTGCAGCATGCCTGCCTTCTGCTCATCACAGGTTTCTGCTGGATCGCTCGAGGTCAGGGTATAATTTGGGAAGACTAGATTTGACAGGAATTTGGCCCTCCCCGCCCTAGGTTTCAACAGTCTAAAACCTGTCACTGCCATCTCCACTGTCCCAGAAGCCGGTTGGTGTCACGTCAAGTGAGCCATAAATACCTCCAGCTCATTCCCACAATGTGTGCCTCCCCAGCACGCCCCGCCGCGGAACCAAGGGGCCCGCTGAATCTGCCCACTCCACCAAGATGCTCATCTCGTGTGGTCATCCATGCCAGCTACCAAGGAGGGTCCTGCTCAGTGGCCCCTGACCACTCCTCAGACTCGACAGTCGTGCCTGTTTGGCGCCTGGAGGGAAGGACCCAGAGGAGCAATGTGAGGGAACGTGCACACCTACCTGTCCAGGGGCTGTCGTCCAGTGGTTTCAGCCAGCTAACACTCATCCGAAACGGGGACAGCAAAGTCCATTTCCCTTTGGAAGTGTGGTCTCCGCCAAGCTCACTCAAGTCTACTCAATTTCCCTACTAGGGCAGGTTCTGAGACTGAGAACCGAACAGGTGCTTAATGCCCCTCGGCTCCCTGCCTCCCTGTTCTGCGTCTCCATCCTGTACCCGGAGACGTGCCTCTGTAGTGTGTAGATTGTTGTGAGCTAAAGGCAACTCCTGCCGGTCCCTTAACCACCTAGAAGAACTTACGTTAGGGGCATTGCCCACAGTGAGATTAGGAGAGATCATCTCTGTTGACCTAACGTGCAGGACAGACTTCTATTTACTAAGCACCTGCTCTCATCATCCTGCAAGGACCCTCCGAAGCCCCCAAGGTGCATGACCTTATTCCTAGCTCAGGACGTCCTCTCCGCCCACGTTCCTTTTCTGTCTCTAATCTGCTCCTGCGCCTGGGGGGGCTCAGGCTCTCTCGTGAATGCAGGGTTCCCGTACATATGTCTGGATTCAATGTGGTTGTTTTCTCTCGATAATCTGTCTCAAGTCTACTCGATTATTAGGCCAGCCAGAAGACCTTGCAGGGGGGAGGGAGTCTGTCCCCCACCCACACCTCCAAGCTGTCGAGTCCAACAGACACAGACGTTTGCTGAGCCTCAGCCGCATTTTGCACTCAGATTCCAAGGCAAACAAAATCAAGCTGAGTGATAAGACCGGCTGGGAAAGGCTGTGCTAGAGCGGGGGAGGGGGTGGGGGGATGCTGAAGGGTGCCCAGGGCTGAGAGGCTGCAGCCCAAGGGGAACAGAAACTGGAAGGGGAAGAACAGCACGTGGGTGGGGCTCAACCACCATGCCCCGCCCGCCCTCCCCATTACCCCCAGATTGACCCTCCCTGCCTTACTGACCCCAGCTCTCACCTCCTCTACACCAAAAACCTAATCTTTATAGGATCATAAAGAAAACTCTCTGCCAGAGGGGGGGGAAGGGCAAGGCATTATAGTAAACATATTTATGAATGAAATGAAAAAGAACACATAAGTTATCAAAGTGTTTCTTGTTTTCCTTTACTAAGGGGTCAGGCCGGCTGGGTTTCTCCTGGAGAATTACAACGAAAAAACCACTTCTTGCGACCAGCCAACAGCTGGTAAACGTTTACTTCTGGATACAGGAGAACTGCTAGGAAATGACCCCTGGATTCAACTTCAGAGAGAATAAAAGGCCACAAATAATTTAGGCCCTGGCCAGTATGCTCAGTGGTTAGAGCGTCGTCCTGCAGACCAAAGTTTGATTCCGGTCAAGGCACGTACCTCAGTTGCGTTTGATCCCCCGCCCTGGTTAGGGTCGTGCAGGAGGCAACCAACTGGTGTGTCTCGTTCACATCAATGTTTCTCTCTCTCCCCCCCTCCCTCCCACTCTATCTGAAAGTCAATGGAAAAATACCCTCAGGTGAGGATTAAAATAAATGAATGAATGAATGATTTAGGTCCCTGGAAATAAGCTGTGAGGAACGGGTTCTCTTACTCCCTCTTCACAGATAGGCTTTGTATAAAAAGACTAGGATTTGTGCTTCAGCCCCTTTAACCAATGAGCGGAACCCCTGGAGCTGGAGAGCAGCCTGCCTCCCACGCTTAGCAGCTTACTCATCTCATTCACCAATTTCAGGATAAAAATGGTGACTAAGGGTCCTCGGAATAACCCTCTCTGTAGCCAGGGAGGACGAAGCTCTGTCCAGGGGTAAATTCCGAACCGAAGCAAGCCAGGGCAAGCTGCCAAGTCGCTTCCCGCAAACCCAGAGGCAAACTGTCCACACTGGCCGCTGGCCGTGCTTTGGCACCCTGTGCACACCCCAGCACCCCACCTGCATGTGGCAGGCATGCCAACCAAACCAAATGACCCCGATGGGGGAGAGGGCATCACAGCCAAGAAAAGCACAGTACCACGGGCACATGCCTGGGGCAGTTAGCCGGTCACCAGGAAACTCCCCTCTTCCCAGGAAAGGCAGTGACAGGGCACATACCACCCACACCCACACCCAGGATGAGCCACTAAAAACAAAACCAAGATTTGAAAAGAAACAAAACAAAACAAAACCAAGGTGGCACAACATGGAGCCACCTAAAAAACGGCCCCGCAAGTATTCTTTGCAGTAGCTCAATTATTTTAAAAGACAATAGCATATTCCGTATACACTGACACACGTTTAAGGAATTAGCTGGGAGAAGCGAGCTATTTTTAGCCAGCATCTGCAGAGGGGGCGGAGTCCCAGGCCCCTGGGGAGGAGCTCCTGGCTGGTCGCAGCGAGCCCCCGTTGCCCGTGGACCTATCACCCAGCGCTGCCATCTCAAACTCCGCAAGAGCCGAGAATGCAGGCAGCGGACCCTCACAGAGGCAGCATCCCGTAAAAATCATTACCCACCCCTGGTTCCAGTGACAATCACCTAACCATAGTCCCCCAAAATAAATACACAGGGCAATGAATATGACAGCCAAAGCAACCGAGTCACGGCACTGCAGTTAGGGACCTGGGCTGGAAAGCCACATGCCATGCTGGGCATCCTCTGCACGCTCCGACGCAGGTCCTGTCTCTGCAGACGGGGGAAGCGGTGGCACCTACTCCTGAGAGCTCCCGCAGCATTAATGGGGTGGCACACGGGCAACACACAGCTCTCAGTCAAACGTCACCTTCAGTGACCAAGCTCGGGGCTCGGAGGGGACTCAGAGGGGACACTGGCTACCTGGGCCCTGGTGATGGTTCCCCCAGGAGCCCTCAGCACAGCACTCAAAGCCAGGAAACGACAGAGGTGACCAACTGGTGCACAGGGTCAAGAGTGGGAGAGCAGGGGCAGGTCCTGGGGCCAAGTAAGAGGACGTTTCAGAGTGTGATCGGTGCGCGGCCCTCCAGGCTGAGGTCTCAGCTGTGCCGCACTGCGGGGTCTACGTGGCAGCAAAGGGGCCAGGTGATTACAGGGGGCTTGAGGCAGCAGTAGCTGCAGGGAGAGCTGAGCAGAGAGACTAAAACCTCACTGCTGAGGATCCAGGAGCTGGAGTGGTGGCCTTGGAATAGAAGTTTGAACACGGGACCCCTCAGAAAAAGACTTGACGACTCACTGGGAATGGGGTGAGGGGCGGGGGCTGGAAACACCACAGATGGAGAGAGCAGTGGCATTCTCGGGGGAAACGGACACAGCAGGGAGGTGTCCATAATAAACCATTTTTAAAAGTCGATGCTGGTGCCAAGCTAGCCTCCCACGTGGCTAATGCCAGCCACCAAGATGGCTGCGACTAGAGCGCCATCAGAAGGCCTGTGCCCTACACTGCCCCAGCGACACCCGTCACAGCCCAAACACCTAACAACATCACTTATTTGAGGCTGAGAAGTTTGTAACTTCTCTGACATGCAGGTGGTCAAGCAGGTCTCAGCTCCTGCCCCCACTCAACTCACCTGGGCCTGTTAATGATGGCCTTTAGGGGGGGGAGGGGAGGGGGCTGCAGGGCAGGTGAGCCCTCAGGACCTCAGAGCGAACCAACCTCATACCCTCAGAGCAGGTGTATGAGAACGCTGGATGTGCAGAAGGGAAAACCCCAGGAAAGAGAGGCAAAAAAGATGGGGTAAAAAGATGTCCCCCAAAACTGGGTCTCACTCCTCCTGTGTGGTCCTATATTTCAACCCTGTCCTATTAGTGGCTGAAAATAACAACAACGATTTCTGGGTCTCCCACATCCTCTGTTCTTTTCCTGGAGAAGGGCTAAGGACTGGTCACATGGCCCCAAGTCATTCAATTCTAGAGCAGAGACAAGGGTCTAGAAGTGCATTTAAGGACTGATCTGGGGGGCGGGGTAGGGAAGATCATGTTTAAAGATGGGCACTTATTCAACTTTCTAAAACCTACTGTGTTCTGGCCTGTTCCAGGCAGGGGGATATAGAAATTACACTCATCTGTTTCTAGAGGCTTCCTTCACAGTGCTGTAATTCTCAAATGCCAACAGAGTGCCAAGAAGCAGCTGACAAAACCTTGGTCTCTAACATACCAGCAGCTCATCTGATCCTAAGCAAGTGTCCTAAGGTTTTCCTGCCATGCTTATTTTGGTTATTTCCATGCTGACACTGCATAATAATACCCCCTTAGCCTGGTGTAAGTGAAAAAGAACACATTGCAAAGACATGGGTCATGATCTATTTTTCTGCTATTTTTGGATACACTTAAAATATAGTGTTAGAATATATTTTAAGGGTTTTAAAAAGTCTTAAACTGGGCATTCTGGCAGGTATTTCTGTGTTACCCAATTATGTATCATTAATACCTTCCTTGTAAAACCTAAACTACCATGTACAAAGTTACATGGTAACAAAGACCTGCACAGTTATCAGTACAAAACACAAAGCCACTAAGTTATACCCTGTTAGGGTCCAATTTCGGAGATTCTTCACTGATATAGACAATGATGTACGCTTTAATGAATATAAATTATAATCAGCCAATTATAGCAACCCTTTCCCATTCCCCGAAACACTTACCTCCTCAAGAAGCCGAGTGACAGCATCAATGTCATTATATGTCTTAGTCATCTGGCCAACTCTTTCAGCACATAAAACTGCAAGAAATAAGAAATTCAATGACAATGAATCCTACAAGAAATAACCAGTGTTGGCAAGGCTGTAGAGAAAGGGAACCCTGGTACACGGCTGGTGGAAATGTAAATTGGTACAGCTACTGTGGGAAATAGTATGCAGGTTTCTCAAAAAATTAAGACTATAGCTACCCACATGACTTAGCAACCCCTCTTCTGGGTATCTACCCAAAAAACGTTAAAACACTGATTCGTAAAGATACATGTATTCCTATGTTCACTGCAGTGTTACTTACAATAGCCAAGACATGGAAACAGCCTAGATGTCCTTCAACAGATGACTGGATAAAGCAGATGTGGTACACATATACAGTGGAATACTACTCAGCCATAAAAAAGATTAAATACTGCCATTTGTGACAACATGGATAGATCTTCAGAGTATCACACTAAGTGAAATAAGTCAGACAGAAAAGGACAAGAAGCATGTGATTTCACTCTTACGTGCAATATAAAACAAAAAGCAACAAATGAACAAATAAAACAAACTGACAGACACAGACAACAGAATGGTGGTTACCAGGGGAGAAGGAAGTGGGAGGAGGACGAAGAGGGTAAAGGGGGTCAAATACATGATGACAGAGGAGACCAGACTTTGGGTGGTGAACACACAATGGACTATATAGATGCTGTCTTACAAAGTTGTACGCCTGAAATTTATATAACGTTATCAAACAATGTTACTCCAAAAAATTTAATTTTAAGAAAGAAAAAAAGTGACAGCGAAACTACCAAGGCTACAAACCTGCTAAACCGAAAAGTGGCTTCAAAAATGTGTATTTGCCCTGGCCGGTTTTGCTCAGTGGTTAGAGCATCAGCCCGTGAACCAATGAGTCGTGGGTTCGATTCCGGTCAAGGGCACATACTTCAGTTGCAGTTTGTCCCTGGCTCTGGTTGGGTCGTGTGAGAGGCAACCAGTCGATGTGGCTCTATCACATCGATGCTTTTCTCTGTCTCTCTCTCCCTCTCTTCCTCCCTCCCTCCTACTCTATCTGATGATAAACAGAAAAATATCCTCAGGTAAGGAATTAAAAAATATATATATATAAATATACACATACATACATAAATACATACATACATACAAAAAACATGTATTAGGCACAAAGGGTTGTTGGTTTTGCCAGATTCAATCCACACAGCACTCAGCATCACCTGGTCATTTCCCGGTTCCAGGGAAGAGCCTGAGGCTCTGAGAGGGTGAGCGGGTGGAAGTGACCTCTAACCCCTGCAAAGCCTTGACATTGTGTGTGACATTGTGTGTGGGGCTGGGGGCAAGGCACTAGAGTGGACAGGGATCTGGCTTCATACAAATTCAGCAAAAACAAATGGGTCAGCAGCCCAGCCACCAAATGATCAGAAACACCAACAGGATCTAGACCTCACTAACCACAGAGACCCAAGCACGGGGACAGGGCAGGGTCCTTCAGAAAGCGGCTATTGGTATAATTATGAAACAAACGTCTTACCTGGTAATTTCATAATGGCACAGTCCCCCCTCCCCAAATGGCTTAAATTCTAAGGCTAAGCAACCAGTTTCCATTCCATAAAACCTAGAGTGACAGTTTTTAAATCCACGCCAAAAAGACCTCTACTATTACTGCAACACATGTAAATGCTCACTCTCTCTGACTCTCTCTTAATTTCAGCCTGCGTTTCTCCCATGGCCTTCAGGATGAGCTTGCTGCAAGTCTGCAGGAGCCTCAAGACCAGACTCAGATCAGCAGGGGTCAATGGACCAAGGAACTAAGAGATTTCACACTCTTACTTGGATCCTTGCTGGTGCCTAGGTATCACACCACTCTTGCCCCACCCATCCTCCCTTCCCTTGATATAAAAGAAGCCTGAATTCTGGGCTCTCTGAAGATGGAGTTGCAGAAGCTTTAAGACAACTCCCATCTTCTCAAGCTGCAACCTTCTTCATCAACAAACCTTTCCTTACTCCAAGCTCTGATGTTTTGAATTTTGGCCTTTATGAAGCTTTGGGCACATGAACCTTGAACTGGTCACACACACACACACACACACACACGCACACACGCATGCAGCAATATTTCATTACGTGTATAATTTACTGTGCTCATAAGAGGCCACTTTAGGGCTGTGTGTCTTTGTTCTCCCTTCCACTGGAGGAAAAGCCTGTGCAATGAAAGAAGACTCTGGTCTGCTGAAAAACCTCAGGGTTATTTTATTTGAAATTAATGGCGAGGAACTGATTTGCAGTTCAGCAAACACTGGCAAGGCCGCATGGGTTTTATTTGGTGCAGGAAGGAGTGAATGCAAATGCATTTAGGGCCAAAGTATAAAATTTTTTGAAACCTGCCACTTTGGGACTAAATCATAACTTCTTAGTGACTCCGCATAACTAAGATCCTGGAGAGCTCGGCTTTGGCAATGACCCCCACTGAGTAACATCCCATGCAAGGCATTTGGGAACTGAAGTTACTACTATGTCAAACTCAGGGGCATTACTGATGGCCAGCTGCAAGAGAAATGCAATAGGTCTCTAAATATTTTATTAAATGCAAGTCGAGACCATCTTAGGGAAGGAGCCCAGAGAAATCCGATCGGTTGGAATGATTTTCTAGCTTCAGAAGGGTGACCTAAAATCTGGTTCCAAATCTGAAACCCAACCGACACAGAGCCCTGGGAGCCAGGAGAGGGGGCTCCTCTTCCCTGCCTCTCCCCACTCGGCCCTTCATGGCAGGAAGCCTCGCCCCTGCTGCAGGGAGGTAGCTGGCCTCGGGCACTTCCCTCCCCCGCCTCCCTGGGGGCTGCCGCGTAGGAACAGGCGAGGAGGATTTACGAGGGTTTGTTTAAACCAGAATTGAATTTGATGGAGACAGAGTCCAGCTCAAATTGCTGTAAATAGTTCATTAGCTTGAAGTCACGAGAAATCCTTCAGTGAAGATGCTACGCCACGGACAGGCATTAGTTTTCAAGCTGTTCAGCTGCCATGTTCTGCCACAGAGCAGGTGAGACACTGGAGCCCTCCAGCCAGCCAGCCAGCCGGCCAGGAGGACAGCACCGCTCGCCCCGTCCGTCTGTCCATGGAAATGGACGGCAGCAGCACCGGGCCCTGCGCGGACACCGGTACTGTGAGCACTGCTACCGCCCACCAAGCTCTCAGAGGGCCAGGCCCTCTGCTGTCCAGGAAAACAGAAAACCGGGACACAGTCTGACTCATCTGCTCCCTGTCACCCTAGCATAAGAGAACAAGATCTGGAGCTGCTCTGTCCTCCGGGATTCTAGTAGTCAGAAATGACACTTCATGTTTTATTTTTTATCCTCACCCGAGGACATTTTTTTCCATTTTGTTCAGATAGAATGGAATGGGGGGGGGGGAGAGAGAGAGAGAGAGAGAGAGAGAGAGAGAGAGAGAGAGAAACATGGACGTGAAAGGGACACATCGAGTGGCTGCCACCCGCACAACCCAACCAGGGCCGGGGACAAACTGCAACCGAGGTACATGCCCTTAGCGGGAACCAAACCCGGGTCTCTCTGGACTGCAGGCCAACGCTCTAACCGCTGAGCCAAACCGGCCAAGGCGACACTTCCATTTTTTTTAAGTTAATTTTTTTTGATGTAAGAAATGATACAGAGATCCCTGTACCCTTTACCCAGTTCCCCCCAGTGGTGACATTTTGTAAAATTATATCACAGCCCGGACACCGACACTGATACAGCCCACGTATCCTACTTAGATTTCCCGTTTCGTGTGTGCGAGTGTGTGCACGCATGTGGGAGTGTTAAGCCCTACACAGTGTTACCTCCTACGCAGGTGTGTGCACCCACACCATGGGATCTCTCATGGTGCCCTTTTATAAAGTGAATTATAAAAAGCTTTAAGATACTTTAACAACTGAACCCCCCAAAAAAGTACATTTGGGCCAGTGTTTTTTTCCAGCATTAATCAGTCAGGCACCTGTTGTCACCATGCAGAGTCGGGAGGCGAGGGGTGCCCTTTCGTGTCCAATCGGGGCTGCAGAGAGATGTGGGGACCGCCCGAAGTCCCGAGGCCTTTGACAGTCGGCCGAGCTCTGGAAGGCGGAGGCATCAACGAAAACCACTACTGACTGAGCCATGCAAGTATGTGCATTCTTACTCCAAGTAAGTTTCTAAAAGCACACATACTCCAAACTGGGGGAGGAGGGAATGTACAGATTTACAATATACAGGAAAAAACTAGGAGAGCCATAAAATACTGACATTTGGATGGAATTACTAATTTTCATTACTAATTTGTTTTTGTTGAGAACATGCAATAATGGGGGGGGGGCGGATTACTTAATATATTTTTCTAGAAAATATTCAACTGTCTACAACATAGGGGCCTGGGACCCCTCCCTGAGGTTCCTTTTAAGAGGAAGTAGTAACAGCAGCAGAACTTTCCTGAGCACAATTCCTGTGACCAGGCCTGTTCACAGCCCTCTAAATGGATTATCTCCATCACTCCTCAGCGCGCCGAATGCTACAGGGAGGGTGCTTACTTTCAACCCGTTTTACAAATGGGAAACTGAGGCCCAGAGAGGTTAAACAACTCATCCCATGTCACACAGCTAGCAAATGGTGAATTTCAGAATGAGAAGAGACTCCCAGCAGGGGCCACAGATAACGTTTCTGGAGTCCCTGGCTGTCCTGGGCTTTCATGTGCTTTCCCGGTGAATCATTGTAACAGCTCCGCAGGGTCGGCACTGTTGTGAAGACTACCCAAAAAGGTGTAAGAAAGTGAAAGAACAGCCATAACCTCTATAATGCCACAAGAGAAAATGAGGGTCTAAGGCCTAGGAAAGGAAGTACAACATGCCTACTGGAGCAGAGCAGACAGGTACACCTACGCAGAGCACGTCTGATGGTGTCAACCTGACGTTAAACAACATTCATCATCGTGCGCCAGGCTCTGCACTGAACACGACAGGAAACCCGTTGTCCTGTGGAGGCGGGGGTGGGGCACAGAAAGCAGG